AAGTGTTCAAAAAACGAGATGTTCATTAAGTTTGGAGTAGCAAGATACAATATAATCAAATATTTTAAGCATAATAATTTTTTGCTTTGAGAAATACAAATGAAGATCAAGCTGAAAACCATGAATTTTGGCAAAATGTTGAGGCCAAAACCATCTAACTACAAAGACAATGACTAAAAAAACCTCCAAGAACAAGCTGTGGGTATTATCATATTTCATTTACAACCTTTGATCCCAAAGCAAGTGGATGAGTATGATAAATGAAGTCTATTGTTTGAGTCTCTTAGGCAATAGTTTCAAAGAAAAGAATTGTCAAATAGATTGTATGAATACTTGAAGCTAATGGTTTGTAAGATGAAAAATTCTAGCACAAAAATTAATAATACCATCAATGCATTTGATGATCTTGTCATTTACTTTCAAAATTTTTAAAATGATAAAAGTGATGAAAGAAAAGCATGTCATTTTTTGAGTTCATTGTCTGTTTTCTATTGGTTAAGGTCACGTGTTTTGCTTCAACCTAATGGAAAAATGATCACATACATAGTGTTGTAAGTATTCTATTGCTTGAAGAATTATTCATACTTCATCTTGTTATTTCCGTACAACATTGAATATAATTCAAGGTTTGTCATATTCACAAAATAGTAAAAACAATAAACATGTTGTATCTTATAATATATCCAAGTCTAAAGCTATATTTATATAAAAAAACTATGGTGTGTTGAAAATATGGCAAAATTAGCCTTGTTAAGAAGTATTGTTACATGAAGACTAGAAATGATTATAATTCGTTGATCAATGTGATTCAAAAGTTTAAAATTAAGGAGTATGATTTGTTGGATGATGGACTATGATGTGAGATGTATGAATTTTAGATAGTGCTTGTTACTATCACATCTATAACATTTGAGAGTTTTTTGGTATTTTCTCACAATCAAACAATTCAATTCTTATGAGTAATGATCATCCCTAAGGGGGAAGGTTATCTTATGATTCAATTGTTTGATGGAATACAGTATACATTGATTCAAGCTAGAGTCATACTTGATATGAAAAAAAAATTGATATTACAAAAAGACTTGAATGGAGCTATAAAAAGAAATTGCTTGCAGTGAGAGTTTGAATAAAACTGTGTATCTACAAAAGATTTGATACTCAATGGATTATTGCAACCATGTTAATGTAATGCAGCTATATGAAACATATTAGCACCTGCTATTATAAAAGTAAGTAATGAAGGTAAGTAAGTAAGTAATAATGATTAAAAAGTAAGTAATGAAGGCTAAAAAAACAATTTAAGGTGGCATTTTCTACGGAGAAGCCACCCCAAAGCCATTTAAAATTATAAGCACAATAATCTATATTTGCTAGAGTATATCATCATTTGAGTTGAAATGTAAAACTAGGTATTAATAAAAGAGCTCACTTGAAGATGAGAGTCACATAAAATGATTCCACATTCCCTTGAAGTATCTTCCTAACAAGTATAAGGATATAAAATATCATCCCATCACGCATTGCACTTCTAGTGAATTGATGACATGGATGATAATACTAACAAAAACATAAAATTTCTGAAGCTTCACTCTCAACTAACACATTATTTGACAAACTCTATCCTTATCTAACAAGCATATGTATTGCTTACGTGTTTAATGTTTTTGTTACGTGTGTATATTGCTATTAACACAAAAACTCTGTACATATCAAACACACAAATTGCTCACCTAACAATTATAGATTGTTCATTATAAATAACTATATTTTCATCTAATGTTAGCTCTATTTTAGTTTTAACTAACTACAAATATTTACATAAAATCAATTTTATTTAATTTTGAACTAATATGTCTCATGTGTCATATTCTAAGTTAAATTACATAAGTATAGATTCATATAGAAAATAACATGGCATTATTAAAGTTAACTTAGAATTGTCTAAATATTGTATTATGAGCAAGCATTATAGTCAAGCTTTCGGTGTTTGAATTCATAAGTCCAAGAAATTTTTTGAGTATCTACATAACGACATGTAAATTTTTTTCTAAAAAAAGTCATTTGTTAAGAAAGTAATACATGAGATTTATGTGAAGTTATTTTTTCACACATAAGCTTGAAATGTTTACAACGTTCAATAGTTGAAAAAACTAAATTGAAATTGAAATTGTACAAATAATGACAAGATGTATATTTTTGAGAAATTTAGTTTTTACTACAAAGAATAAATAATAACTTGTCATTTCACTATATAACAAAAATAGTGATTTATGCTCTTCCATAAATTGCTATTTTTGAATGTTTCAATTGAACGGTGTTGGAAACGGTGTACAGTATGTTAAGCCAATCTATTCTATCATATAATTTTTTGGCTGAATCTATCAATATTGCAATATATTTGATACACAAAATCTCATTTTAGCGCAATCAATTTTTTAACATTGTTTGAACTAAGACACAAACGGATAGTTGATTATAATTGTTTAAGATTTTTGGTTTGTACAGTTTATACTTCTATATGTAAGGAGAATAGAACAAATTTGGATACTACATCTAAGAATTTTCATTTTCTTATCTATTTTTTATGCAAGTAGTGTGAAGAATTATAGTTTATATGATATAGTAGCTTGTAAATTTATTCTCAGAAGTAATGATTACTACAATTCCAATGTGTCTAATCTATTGAAAAAAAAAGTTCTTCGATTTTTTGGAGAAAAAAATCTCCACATACGGATGTTATTGAAAAAAAGAATTATTAATATGTGATCAATGATGTGACACATGATGAAGTTCATGAAAAGAAAAAACTAAAGAAGCATCTTATTGTTGATTATGTTATTGATCAATCAATTTTGATTGATTACCCATGAATGTTCAAGCTGAAAGATTATTAGCTTGTACATTCACAAGAGATGAATTTTGAAATTGAGTTTAGTGATTAAAGGTTTCACACAAAAGAAAAGAATGTATTATAACAAAATATTCTCACATGTAGCAAAATATGTTATAATGTGATTGGTATGTGCATTTTTTTTAATATTTAATTTGGATATGGATGAGATGAATGTATTTTTTTATTTTTTTTACATAATCTAGAGCAAAAAATCTACATGAAATAATCAGTTGGCTTTGACTAGAAGGATAAGACGAAGTTGATTTGTAAATTGCTCAAATCATTCATACGCAGTGAAATGCAAGATTTGATGAATTTATGAAAACACAAGAATTTTCAAATAATATTTTTGACTCTTGTGTATACATGAATAAGTTGAATAGTGAGATTTTTAATCTCATATTTTAAATATTTTACATTGAATGACATGGTTCATCTTGTAAAAAATCTAATGTGATGTTGATAAATGCAAGAATAAGTTAAATTTTGCAATTAAGATAAAAAATTTGAGAAAATCCAAGAAAATATTAAAAATGTATGTTCATAAAAAAATAAATAATAAGAGTTTGTGGTAAAATCAAGGCATACATATACCATAGACAATATATATGCATGCGCAAGATGTAATACAGAATGTGTGTAAAATATGATAATATCACATGGAGCATTGTTTCTTTTCTAAGATTCAATTTGATTATGTGTTTTTTTATAACCAAATGTATTTATAAACAGTGATTGTGAAATTCACGCCAAATTTTCAAATTACGTTCAACGAGTTCTTAATAGATTTAACATGATCATCTTTGAAAGAATTTAGATTACTTTAGTAACACATCTCAAACTTTCTGCAGCTGAATGTCCAATCAACGCAATTGAGAAAAAAAATATATTATTTGTTAACTATGACAAAGCTATAAATAATCTAATATGCTTGATAGTTATACAAGATATGATATTGCTCTAGCTATGAAAAACTTAAGCAAATATATATCAAATCTAAAAAATATGCATTAATAAGTTAAGAAATGAAATTTTATTATTTGAAATATATTAAATATTGTGATTTATCATTTGATAGTCTAGTAGACAATGCAAAATCATTGTTTGACTACGTTGATGCTAACCATGTACAAGATATGAAAAAAAAACTCTTCAGCTAAATATACAATTTAATCTGATGGTGAATGCATTCATTAAAGACATACATTGCATAAATGTATAGCTCAGTCTACAATATGTAACGATAGTAGAAGTAGCAAAGCAAGCTATTTATTTAAATAGGTTTATCATTGAAATGAGACTGAAACTTGAGGTTGACAATCTTCATTATGATAGTGAAAGTATGTTATATCTTGCTATAAATACCAAAGCGAAACACATCGATATCATATTTCACTTTATTACACATGCAATTTTAATAAAAATATTGAAATAATCAAAATTAAGAGTAAATTCAATTCAATTGATACATTAATCAAATTTATTTTTTTGGAAAATTTTGAGAGATATTGTATTGTAACATTAGCTCAAATTTATTTTGATATATTTTTTGATAACTCATCATGATAAAAAAAAATAAAATTCTCTCTATGTACTTGTCTTAAAGAAGTTTCTCAAGATTTGATCACTTATTTTCACTCCACAATGATTATGTAAATCGTGTATTGACTAAATAATTTTTTCACACATTGAATCAAAATTTGTTTGAAAGTCTATTCTATTTATATTATCAAAAAAATTACAATAATAACATATGTTAATTATTATCTCAATTATTTTTATTGAGATGAACTCGGCTATGTTTGACTTATTCTCATTACAAACAATTAATGAAAAAATGCTAGTGGAAAGAACATATTTTATCATTTATAATATAACATTTCACAAGAAATTAAAAAGATACTTAACTCTATGGTTAGCATGATGTATTTCTACAAATAATGCCATGATACTACTATGAAAGTTCATGAGGACTTTATGAATGAAACCAGTATGAAGAAGAAAGTAGAAGCGACGAATATGAGAATGTAGACAATTCAAGATCCACTGGTAGAGGAAGTTCATATATACAGTACATGCGAAACAATCTAGAAATCTGTTTAAACAAACCTGTGGCAATAGTAGAATGCTTAAGTGCTGTGTGCATGTCATTGTTGAAACCGGTGATGAGGAGGCGAACGCTGGATATAAAGCAACACATGAATTACAAGAGTTTCAACGAAACGAAAACAAGCGACATTGTACAATAAGTCCTCCAATTTCACAGGTGCGGCGACGTCGGCAGACCTCGGAGGCCTGATGATTCAAGCGTTCGGTAAGCAGTACTCTGGTTTATGATCAGGATGTGTTGCTCTTTTCCTCATCATGTGGAACCTGAAATCTAACGAGATAATGGACCAACCAGAATGTTCGCGATCGAGAGCTTCTGTTGTTCGCATTATACACTCATTTCCGTCCATGCCGATCAAAGTAAGATCTCCAGCGCGGCTTTGAGCGCGAATTTCCTGGGTTCAGCAAAGTGTACACCATGAAAACTGTTGGTAGAAGGCGACGAGCACAAGTTCATCAATACGAAAAGTTAGCAGACTACATCTCGCCCACAGCGTGCTTGGCTTGCTTTGTTCTTTTGTTTTGGCTTTCTGCCTCATTACTTCACACCTCTCGGCATGATCCTATCGTTACTCGGAGCGGTCTAGCAGACACTGCAAATTGGGGACGATCAAATCAGCATGATTCATCTTTGAATTTCAATTTTGATTCCGAATCGACGAATCCCAAAATTCGAGATAGCGCATCTAAGGTTGGCAAGTTATTGGGAGTTGAGGATCAGGCAGTGAATGGAGAAAGTGATTCACTGGTGAGAGCTGGTAAAGGCGACTTCGAGCTTGTTTCAAGAGTTGCATTTGGTTCCTGCACATCTAGAAGAGATGTATACCAACCAATATGGCGACAAGGCGTAATACCAAGTTCTCCACAGGCTTGGATATGGTGCGCTTATCTGTCTCATCCATCTCAACTTGTATAGTTGCTAATCTGAGTGAACAATCCTAGTTTGTATGCGGAGTTTAATTATGATTTCTGTGTTGATTTTGACCTGCTAATCAGTGTTAGCCTTGCCTTCGGAGCATATTAATGTTTCATATTATGATCTACGAGAAAGTCCTAGAAATTCAAAAGTTTTTGGAGACTTTCACGAGCTTTCAAACAGATTCACCGCGGCTTCGACTGATTATGGCTAATTGAACATCCACTGTTGATGAGAGTACTTGATAGAAATCGTATTTGCGCGCATGCACTCAATCTACGTCCATGTCGTGCAGGGCAGGTGACATAGCGTACATGGATTGGCCTGATACCAACTGCAAGGAGAAGCCTGAACATTTCGAGTGTAATTGCACTCGTGATTGGCTCCATGTGAATCGGCAAACCTGTCTCGCAGGTGCACGAAGTTTTACTGAATTGATGAATTATGATTGACTCCAGGTTGCAGGCTGAGGGTTAGTCAGGACAATACATTGTAGGAAATCTCCGTGTGTTTTCATATGTAACTGCAGGAAGATCGAGTCTAGTATGTGGACATATTTCAGACTAGTCATGGGTTGTTTCAATTGTTGCTCAAGAAGCTTGTTATCGATAGATTTGTTAGCCGCATAGTACTACTGCAGCTTACTCTTCAACTCTGGGCAGAGCCTTAAAACTTGAAGCAGGGAGTGGAGCTCACTCCAATTTACTACCTAAGATTTGGATCAACGTTAAACACGTACTCTGTGGGTCATAATAACGATTTTTTCCTGAAATTTTAGGCAATGATCATTCTACTGATGTTTTATTCTACTGATGTCAGTCTTTTAAAAATGAAGATTCGTCATTTACCACTATCATAAAGTAGATTGTGTTTGATCTGTTATATTTTGAATCGAGCGTCATGGAAGACAAGGTTAGAGCTTAATATTGGTCAATCGTTTCCTTAGGCGATGTTGCGCATGCAAGGAAGAAGTTGGAAATTCAGCTTCAAAATCCGGATTACCAGCAGGTACGAGTTACATCTGCGTTCTATTTAGTTTGAAACTGCGTAATATTTGCATCCTCAAAGTCTTCATTCTCTATGACTGATATGTCCGAGAGATTTCGAGGTCATATGCTTTCTAATCACGTGGCATTTGTCTAATTTCTGATTCATTATCATTTTCTCCTGCAGTTTGTAGAGTACATGTGTCCGGACATCAAGAATCTGGGCTCTGGACATCGGGATCTGTCTCTTTGCGCCAGGCCAATAGTTGGAACGTGGGATGATCATGACTACAATTGGTCCGTCTTCACTTCAACAGTTGCTGTCTATCCTGCCTACAATGATTCAGTTGTATAAGTTTTGTCTGCCACGCAAGAAACTTTGCTTTTTATCGGCTGATTCAAACTCAAGCAATCCATTGCGATGAGGAAAAGATGTATTGAGCCAGAGATAATCGTTGCCCTTAGACAAGATATTTAACCTCAGCAACGTCTGACACGCAAAACCCCTCTAGTTTTACCTCACCAATTGTTAAGTGTATATTCGGATGATGCCTTCATTGACAACGTTAGGTAATGTAATCGACTAACTCTGTCGATGGAACGTGCTGTAAGCCGAGGATATCGTTCAAAGCAAGTGAATGAGATGCGGTTGGATTTGCAGGCAAGACGGAGACAAGCGTTTACCAAATAAAGAACAGCAAAAAAAGTTATATCTTGACGCCTTTGGAGTACCTTCGAACAGTCCCCGCCGAGAGAAGGATCGTGGCATCTACTGGAAGGTAACGGTTTCAGAATATACGTTCTCTATAATTACGAAATCAATTTCTCTATGTGAAGCCAGTGTTTCCAATCTCTTCCAACATCTTATTTACCTGCCATTTCTCGTCTAAGGATTCAACGTCGTTTTTGCCTATATAGAATCCGGATTATAGATTATGATCATAGATTCGTTGCGATTATGTCAGTGGTGTTGACAGGGCTGGATATCATATTGCCAGTTCTGATCAATTTGTTGACGTTTACAACAGTTATCGGTGCCTTGCAGCACACTTTAAATGAGGGGACTAAAGGGAAGGAGATTGACGTGTTTCTTCTTGACGAGAGATTCCACCGGGATAACAAGCCATGCGAAACAAGACGAGAATTCTGTGAGAAGGTGGCTGTTCCGGATCCTAAGAAGTACAAGCATGCCTGGTGAGACTACAAACATTTGAAAGTGCTCTTACACTCATCCGTACAATTTGGATTTGAGTTAGACTTGTGTTAGAATTAAGTAAAGATTTGCCTGCCCCGTAGGACTTCTGGACATGCTTGGTCTGCTTGAACGTGAACGTTTACAGAAAATTATATATGCTCAAACCAACTGATATTGACAGGAAGCATCTATTTGAAAGAGTCATGTCTTTGAAAGAAACCACATGCCCTATATTGGAATGATAATGATTTTCCGATTGAATATTCTTAAAATCAGCAGATCTAGACTGTCGTGTCCACATTGATAGTTTGCACATTGTTCACAAACAACGGTTTAGATTCTCCATGCGTCGTTGACACAGGTGTAAGGACTTTATTTTCGGTGGCGCAGATGGAAAAGGTTCTTGCTGCAGGAAAGATGAACAAATATGGGCAGGTAGTTTTGCCTTCTTCCATTAGTATTGGTCTTCATGACGCTATTTAATAAACCTAGTGCGAAAGTCAAGTTTTAAATCTTAGCTTCTTGGGTTTTTTGTCATGGCACTTTTCATTGAACCCCATGCTTGCTAGTGACCTGCAGGGTGGTGCAAAGAAAATTCCCAGCTAGGTGACGATCTTTGGGAAGCAGCTTGCGATCCGACATCCGAGACATATGGGTTTCCAGGTCTAGAGATAGACATCAGCTCCGGTGGTCCTATTCGAGCTGGACCCAACTCAAATACTACTCACGGTGAAGGTGTATTGTGCGAGGTACGTAATAAGCCAAATTAAAACCTACAGCCGTCCAGGAACCTGCATGTATTGGCTGTGGAGATTATTGGGGATTCGTCTGAGGTGATCAATCCAGTGCCTTTTGACCCTTTGGGTCCCACGGGCTTGATAAAAAAGAAAGAAAACATATGGAGTAAACACAAGAATAATGATCAAAAGTTTGCTAAGAAACCTTACAAGCTTCACCACTGTGTTGACATCAAAAGGAGAGACATGTATTGCAGGTGATCGGAGTGAATCAAAGGGCATGGTTACAAGATGAACTTCGCAAATCAGAAGCTCCACTGAAGCTTATTGTGTCAGGATCTCCCGTTTTCAACAACCCGGAGGAATTTGTAAGTACTAGTAGTGAGACTCCTGGTTTCTCAACACATGCTTTGTTTATTGCTCATGTTTGAATTGTCTTGCACATGCACGTCTAGACCAAGGAGCTCCTTCATCTCTTGCTTAGCATCTGATACCTTCTGGTGGGTGGTGGGCTGACAGGTTTGCTCGAAGGCTCTTAAGAGGAGACCTTCAGTAAATTGTACATGCTTTGATGACTATGATTGTTACAGACCAGCGCAATTGAACCTGCTCCATAATCTGGCTCAAGCCCCAGGATGTGTGGTTGTTCTTACAGGAGATTTTCATTTTTCAGACATAAAGGTAAGTATGTATGGGTTCTTCTGTTGGATTTCTGTACATAGTCTAGGCAAGTCTGCCTGGTACAGCTTTTTTTGGAAGAATTAGTGCTCCTTGTGCTGATCCTATTTTCTCCTCCACAGCTAGCTCCCGGCCGGCTCTTGCAGGTTGTACGTGATCAATACAGATAGTCAAACTTCCATCTTTGCTGAAACATGATCAGATCTATTGTCCTTCCATATATCAATACCTACAGACCCTTAAATGCATCTACCTGAATCACAGGTTTTGCAGCCAGGAAGTCAAAAATATAGTGGTGCATATGATAGCTTCCACCTTCCACGAGCTATCTATCAGGTTCTTTATTTTTCCGTTACTTGGAAGTCAAGATGGTCTGTATCGACATGAGGAGGATTTTCATGGTTTTATTGTCCATTTAAGTTTTTTTGGAGCCTTTGTGTCATACTTAGATTCATTGCAGCTCATGTACACCGAAATTGTCCCACTAAAGTGACTGAATTCAAAAGTGCTAGAACATTACCTGTCCTTTGTTAGACAGTTTGCTTCATCAGTAAGCTCAATATAACACAAAGATTTTGGGTTGTACAACTTCTTGACAGATAATGGCAAGTGGTCTGACTACCGACACTGCCCAGCATGCTCCTTGTGATGGTATGTTCAACATCGATGACACTCACTTGATGCCTCTATCTGACCCTATTGATCTTATTGTGAGTGACGACAACAGTTATAGTGAGTAAAAGTTGCTCATTTTAGCTACATCCGGTGAGGGTTACCTGTTAGTACCTTTGTCTGTACTAACGACACAAGTTAAGAAACATCAGGATCTTCAGAGCGCCTTACCCGGCACTCTAAAGAGTCACTGGCGCCTTACGAGTCTTTCCTAAATCTTTCTCAGTAGCTGTGAATATCAGCTTGTCAAACTTGTGGCCAATTATCTATTGAGTTCTTAATTTGGAAGCATTTCAGTATGGTGTGGCTATTAACTTTTCTGCAAATCTGATTCAGCAGTTCAATTTGTTTCAGCTCTTTGATTTTGTACATGGAGCATATGTCCTTGCAATGCTCAACAGGAACTAGTTTTTGATCGAAGAACTCTTTGGAGTTCCATCTATTCCTTTCTTGAGCTTTCACAGCAAGATTTATGTATTAATCAGTGCCTACCTGTGGACTGTAAAGGTTATCGGATAGATTTGTGACCAATTATCTATCGAGTTCTTAAACTGGAAGTATTTTAGTATGATGTGGCTAATCATATTTCTGCAAATCTGACTCTGGACTGTAAAGGTTACCGGATAGATAAAGCTGGTTTCAGACCTGAAGGCGAATGTGCATTTGTATCTGGACCAGCGTTTGGCATGATCGAGGTAATATTTTGTGATGAACTCCGCATTGTGGTTAGGATGTAACAGTCCGCTTTTCTTATTCATGTTGCCAGATACCCTGTTAACTATTACCTTCACGTCATGCAGATAGACTGGGATACACCTGAGCAACTTGCCAAGCTGCAGATCCGTGACGAGTTTGGTGTAGTTACTCTAGAAAGCACGCTGAGGTTAGATAAGTGCACTCCAGTTTAGGATGGATCTTAGGAAGGAACTGTTGTTTGAAGCCTCCTGGTGAAACCACACATGAAATTGAATGCTTGTTTAGCTAAGCTGGACGAGAAATGCTGTGGGATTGGATGGTACTGTTGACAATTTGAGATTCCTGCTTAGGCCAATTTGTTAAGAGCAACCTTTTTATTTAATTAGCAGCCCTTGTGAGTGGGTGGCGACTTTTTCACCTCAAAACTGAACATACGATTGGGACAAGTAGTCTCGTTGTGTAGATTGCGCAAACGTATCACGTTTTGGAACGATCCAGTCGAATGAAGTGACAATATCTTTCGTAAACGATTTCGTCAGATACATGTAAATACTGCTATGGGAAGTAGCGTGGAACATCCCCCTCACTATGGCTGGGTTTATCGTATCGCCTTCGCCAGTCCTTATTAACATAGTTCTGAAAAAACTCTTAATGTTCTTCTAGTGAGCCACAGGAAATTACTTCAAAGACCCTGTGTGCTTACCTGGCTAAATAATAGTAAGCTATGAACTATGCAAATGCACTAATGAAGATGCAGTTTTCACGCTGAGTGATCGAAATTTATGTTGCTTTGATGAGATCATTCTCTCTGGCTGCTCGGAAACATTGCATCGCATCCGGGTGTCAAAGTTTTGACAATATATTTCAATGTTGTCGCGAGTGTATTGTTAACTGCAACCCATGAATAGTGGAAGTTAGTACAAAAAATTAATTTCCTGTGGAAACGTTTGCAGTGTAAGTGTTCCACGCACATACAACAACATGCGAAGCCGTCTGATCTATCGTAATGTGGTTGTCGTTTGATGCGATTACAACAAATTACCATCTCATCCAGAAACTCGAAGTCCCGAAATTTGATGTCGATGGAAAGTCTTGTTACAATACTTCCACTTATTGCATACCTCAGATTTGAAAGTTGTTAAAAAAAGTGGATAGTGAAGTTCTTCTACTAGCCGTGGACTGGGTAGGATCTAGGGATGAGCAAATGTTACGGCTGATTGGAGGACACATTGTACAATTTACAGTTAACGAAATCAAATCATCAACCTCTGATGAGGAGTTAAAAAGTTACATCTTTAGCGCTGTGTCGAAGGTAATACCTCGTGCTCTACATGTTTCATTCACTCTTGGATAAGAAGTTGATAAACCTTGCTTCCCTTCTTGTCACTTTCTAGAGAGTAATATAGAAAAAAGAGGTGTGGACTTTGTTTGTGGACGTTTACATATTCATGGCCAAAAGCAAATAAAGCATGAATTAGATCATAAATAGATGTTTGCAAAGCTTGAAAACAGATACAATTTATTTAACTGAACGTGACTGTCCTAGTTTAATATTGAGAGAAAATGCTGAGTAGGTTCTTTGTGATTTGACTAAAAGCAAAGTAGCCTTATTACAATTTGGCGGGAAGCAAAAATATATCCTTGTGATTTGACAAGAAGCAATAAAGCAAAATATTTAATCTTGGAGTTTAAATTTTAAATCTTCAACCCTGAAGGTTTAGTTCGATATCTGAGTATTTTGTACTTGATTGATGATTTTTTTTATGATTTAAAAAATATTTTTCTCATAAAAAGACAAAAAATTCTCAAATATTTGACACAAAGAGACAATAGTCATGAAATCAAGAGTAATAGGATTTGATAAGGTTATATAGAATAAACATGATGATTATTTATTAAAGAGACAAATCAATGATAATTTAAAAGCTTTCAGTTTGGGCAAGATTTTAAAATCTAATTCATCTGCAATCATGTGAGTGTTGTTATACTCACAACATGCTAGTCAATGTACTTCTAGTTGTTGAAAATGCACAATAAGGTTGCAAATGTAGTATTGTTATAACTTTTGTAATATAGTATTATATAGTATTACAACCTTTGTTTTTGAAATAAATAGATAAGTATATTAATCATATTTTATGACCACTTGAACTCATGAGTTTCATGATGAAAGATTTTAATATAAAATAATTTCACAATTAAATCACAAGAATGACAAACAATATAACCAAGAAATCACACAACAAATAGTATAATCGAGAAATCACACGAGATGACGCAACAGGTTCATGATTCACTCTTGATTTAGGAGCTACATCCGATGTAAAATGACTATATATTATGAATAATCAAAATTTCAAAGGCGAAATGAAACTCGACTCAAAGTATATGTGGTAGCAACTAATCCATACAACTCACTTGAGGTAATCTGAAATTGAAGTAATCCTTAAAGTGGACTTAAACCTAAAAATCTCCCCCTTAATTGATGTTGAGCCGTAGCAAAAACATGAGAGTAATAATATAAAAGAATAACTAAAATGCTAGTAAACTCTACCTGTGCTTCTCATGCAAAAGATATATAGTAACACAATGTGGACTAAAATCTTTCAAGGAAATAACTTTGATCAACACATCAGTTAGATTATCTTTAATCTTAACTAGTTCAATCTTTTTATCAAAAACTAAATGTCCGATAAAGTGATAACTTTGTAAATGTCCGACAATGTGCTTCACTTTGTTGTCCATCACTTGATTTGCAGACATATGTAAAACACTCTGGCTATGACAATAAAGATTGAAAACGTCATATTTTAATCTCATTTTAATGATAAGCCTATTTAATCAAATAGCTTCATTTGTCACGTCTTCTACTACTACATGCTCAACTTTCATGATAAATTGAGCTATGTAAGTTTGCAAAGTATTCTCTAATTAATGTTTTCACCATTAAGTGTAAACACATATCTAGTTTTAGATTTCCTTTGGTTCAAATTTTATAGATAATCATCATCAACTTAGCCAAACAAGAATTTAACATTGTATAATATATCATCAAATAATAAACCATGATTTTCATAATTCTTCAAATATCTAAGAAACCATTATACTGCTTTTAATGAATCTTCCTCGGATTCAATATGTACTTGTTCATCTTGCTCATTGCTAGAACAATATCAAGCCTTGTGTACACTATCAAATACATGAGCCTAGACAGAGCTTGATCATAAGAAACACATAACTTTCTTTCTTTCTAAATGACATTGGTTGGACATTGAGCTTCGAAAAGTTTAAATATGTTGCTAAAAGAGTCTATACTTCTCTAGAGTTTGTCATGTTGAACTTGTAAAATACATATTGAATTTACTTGTGTTGGTTCAATCATAGATTTTTCTATTCCAAAACTCTATGAATGTTCATGCCTAATATACTCTTTGATTAGTCCAAAATTTTCATCTTGAATGTAGACTTCAATTGATTTTTGCATTTATCAATATTAGATTGGTTTTTTGCCAAAATGAACATGTCATCCATTTCAAGTACTAGAATAATAAGATGAAGATTTTATTATTCAGTTTTTTCATGTATATATAAGGTTCACACACATTTTGGGAAAAATCTTGTGACTTCATGACCTCGTCAAACCTTGTATACTAGTGCTTAGAAGCTTGCTTATATACATATAGTGGCTTCAACAATCTACAAATTAACTTTCTTGATCTTTCATCTCAAAGTCAACGGGTTGTTTTTTGTAAATTTACTTTAAATATTTATAGACAGATATTGTAACTACGTCAATCTTGTTCATAATAAGACTAAATATTGCAATCAATGCACATAGATGAATCACATCATACTTTGTTACAAGTAAAAAAACTTTATTGTAATTCACACCTTTATCTTCTGTGAAATCATCACATGTTCAATTTTACTTTAACTTATACATTCATTTGCAATCAATCAAAGTCTAATCTTTAGTAAGTTCACTTAGCTACCAAGTCTTGTAATCAATTAGCGACTACATTTCACGTTACTTAGCATTATTTCACTCAAGCTTATTAACCAAAGTTTGATTTTCTTTCTTAAAACAAGGTTCTGCTTCTTTCAAAATCAAAGCAGATTTATCATCATACTCTGCATCAATGTCACAATCTCCAAAAATGAATGAATGAATCAATAATCTATACCTCACAAGAGCTTTACTAATTTGATTAGAAGAATTCCTAGTACAAGTTCTAGTTTATCTCTATTGTGAGATGTAGATATTTAAGTTTCACCGATAGTAATTTGCTCATCTAGATTTGTTTCTCAAGACTTTGCTCCATCTGTATTAGAACTTCTCCTTATGTCACATCATTTATCACAAAATGATCAAACTACTACTCAACAACATCTATGAGTGAAGACTTTCCCTTGTCAGTATATTTTTTTTCCCTCTTTCATGATCTGGATTCATTGAAAAAAACATCACTACTGACAATAAAGTTACAGGCTAAAGAATCCCATATCCTATAATCATTCACACCACTAGCATATCCAAGAAAATAACACTTTTTGAAAGTAGATAGTATTATTCTCCTTGGGTATGAAAGTATAGGCTCTACAATAAAAATTTCTCAAAAAACTATAATCAGTCATCCATTTGTGTCTCAGTTCAAAAGGTGGCAAAAAATTAATTGCATTAGAAGAAGAAAAAATCACCAAATATAATGCGGTATTGATAAATTTGGTCCAAAATTTAGATGATACACCAAATTGATTTTATATTTTACACATTTTTTCCACACTGTTTAATTGAAAATATTAGAATCATCATCCTATTGCAAACATAAATTGTGATGAGTTGAAGAATAATTGCCTTCTTCTATAAGTAATTCCGAATGTCTTTAGAAATATATTTTCCGTTGTTATTCGTACACAACTATTTCACCTTGTATCAAGTCTGAGTATCAACTTGGATTCTCCAATTTTTGAGAGTTGTAAACACCTCATACTTGTGCATGAGGAAATAAATCCACACAAATCTTGAGTTAATAATCATCAAATGAGACATAGTAGAACTTTCTAGATAGAGAGGCTTTATGATAAAATTTTCACACGTCACTATTATGTACATTCTCAAGTTACTCCTTGAAACTATGAAATCCATCATCAAAGTTTTGACTATGCTGCTTGTTCATGATACAATGTTTGCAAAACTCCAAACCAACTTTATTCATGTCATTTAACAATTTTCTCTCCTTTGGGAAGAACATGAACATATTATTCATGTGTCATAGCCTAGAATGCCACGCATGAGACATCACAAGTCAAGATCTAGTAAAATTAACTTCCTATATATATTATTGCACTCTAGCAAATATACATTAATGTGCTTACGCTCTCTAAGTATAATCTTATCATATATCTCTAACCTCAAGCACGACTTTCTTACAAATCCACCCAAGGCCGTATAAGTTGAACATTTCAAGAGATATCAAGTTTTTTTCTCATATTAGGTATGAATTTGACTTGGATCAATGTATGTGTGATCTCATTTAATATGATCTTCAAAATTCTAACATACTCAATCTTACAATATTGATCATTGCCTGTAAAAAATTTTTCCGTCTGATATTCAGAAAGTACAAAAAAATTCTTTAACATATCATATGTGATAAGAACAAGCATCATCAAAAATCTATAGATCACTAACAACTTTTGAAGAACTGCATGGAGCATACATCTAACATCATATGCCATCATTTAGCAAGTCATACTCATTCGGCTCAAAATGTTTAGTGACATTTGGTAACATCCTTGATCTTCACATGACAATGCTTCTTGATGTGGCCATTCTTGCCACATTGCCAGCACACCAAAGTCTTTTTCTAAGGATTTTTTAACTTGGAGTTGGATCTAGTCTTGGATCCAAAATGTCTCCCATTCGTGTCATTACTCAAATATGACCAACCTCAAATCACATTAAGTGCCGTATTGGAAGATGTGGAGGAAGTAGATGATGTCATCATCTTCTACCGCATGTATTTTTTTAACAAAGCACTTACAACATTGTTATAAGTGATAATTTTATTATCAAAATGAAGCAAGATAAGTAATAGTAATAGAAACTAATGCGATGTCGAAAAAGAACTAAGGAGATTTAAAGCTTTTCTTTCATCCAAAATCTCATCACATAAAATTTTCCAAATCTATCACAAAATCATCAAAAGGGTAAATGTGATCTTAGATTTTGATGCCAGAATCTTTCATCTTGAAGCTCATTAGTTTCAAGAAGGCATAAAATCTATTATCATTTCTTTACGATGAATCCGATAGTAAAGTGACTCAAATAGTGGAGTGACCTTATCATATTCTTTCACATGCTACAAGACCAAAAGATGTAGCTGAAAAATGAGGATATTCACAACCTGTTCCTGAAGGTATATCCATGTGTCATTGTTGAATTTAGCAGGTTTCATACTAAAATAATATTTTTGTATGTTATTTTCATTACCTTCTCATCAAATTTTGAAATTAATACGGAAAACGTTTCTGTCATATGTCAACACACAAGAAATTATTATAGACTTAAATGTAGCTGATCTCGTGCTTTTCTCCCACGTTTAGAATTACGAGTTCAGAACCAAATCAAAGACTTAGAAACATGATAATAGCCAAGAATGAGTCGTTTGAGATGATAATTAAATAGATAAGCTTGTGAACGGAAATCAGGAAAAAGTACAGAGTTTGTTGGATGCTAACTCAATACCATCCTCATTCCAACTGCTGAGCACTGTAATGCTCTTAGAAAGCCGAGTCCTCTGCACCATCCGTGTTGCTTTCGAGCAAATTTTCTCGCTCAGCTGCGCGGGAAATCGTGGCTCATGAACATCCGACGGGAAAGCATTTTTACCGTGGGCACTACTGTGAAGGAAGTGGAACATTTCGCAGTCTCGCCGAAGTTCCTCAACATGTCTAAGAACTGGTCTCAGTCATGAAGTCTTTTGTGGTCTCGTTGAATACCATACTACGTATTTCACCTTACTTCATGAGTAAGTCCCGAACTTACTGACGAGAGAGGCATACCATTGTGAAAAATTATGCAGATCTGCAAATTTTTTAATTCTAACCTTCTAACGTGGTGGATCTTGCATCTCCAACTCGACGCTGGACTAAAATTAGCAGTCCTTAGAGTTTAAGAGGCAAAGTAAACTTCACAATTGCGCCTGTACTATGTTTTCTCCAAAAGAAGCCAGACCTGCAATCAAGCTCTGTGTCTATGAAAGGCTACTGAATAAAATCCGGGGAATAAATGAAAAATTTAGAATGAAGGGAAATGCTCGCCTGCCTCGGTGGTCGTTCAAAACAAGTTGGATGCAGCAGATTGTTGAAACATATTATAAATAGATTTTCTACACCTAGCACCCTCTGTGCCCATCACCATCGATAATCATTTTAGCGTGACTAATAACTCTCGGGGTCTAAGCTCCTAGTCTTAAGCAAAATTGTTGCTGCGCGGCAACTGGCCAGTACATTTGTAGTCCCTTCGTAAAATTGTTATTCTAGAACTAGCCACAGTCATAGGAAAGATGAAACTCTAAAGTGTAATTGATACGTGAGGTACACGAGAACTCACAAATGTCCCACTTTTACTTATCTGCATCCATCCACGCATTCTATTCGAAGAAGACAAATGATTCCCATTCTCTGACTCGTGTCAGATTGGCCCATTTTCTCCTCTCTCGATAGTTATGCGTTGAATGGTGTATCTGAAGCTACACATTGCGTGACGGAATCAGCACAGATTGCGTTACCGCTTGAACCACATTGGACTGAGGAAATCGCCTCCCTGAATTCACTTTTATGGCTACAGATATAACACAAAGTGCTATGCAGAGGTCATAGCTTTGGCCATGTGTTAGCGAAGAGAAATTCTCGTGTACAGACGTTGCTTCCTCCACACCATCCATGGCGAATTCAAATGCGGTAGTCAGCAGCTCGTTTTGGAGGCAGGTTTTGATATGCGTCTTATAATTTCTATATACTCGAAGCATGTAGCGCACGAGCTTGTGTTTATGAAGTGGATTCGAACACCAGAAGCTAAGAACCAAATCTTAACACTGTAATGTCATTCTCTTACAGAGGCTGTACAGATACAGTCGACCTCGTTACAGGTTGGACATCAACCTCAGCACGTCCGTGCTGCCAATTTAGCAGTGACCGCCAATATTTGTCAAAAACCACAAGACTGAAATTTCGGAATCTACCAAGATGTGGATTTTCGGAATCGCGGAGGCGCAAAGATGCAAGAACAAAGTCGGAGATTGGGACGGGCAGGCATGTGATAAGCCTGTCAGGTGGAAGTATGCCAAGAAGGTTTGGTGAATTTTCTCAGCAGAGGAGGAAGTCAAATCTGCTTATCAATGCGGCTTACATTTCGCCTCCAGGAGCACCAACTGACTCGATGTACGACCCAGTTTCGGATAGCAGTGAACATTTTGAGCTGGAGAAAGAATCTCCAAAGAGGGAAAGCCTCATCAATGCTGGCCTCATTGTCCGACTCGTTTTGGAAGAAAAGCGGAGCCTTGCTATCGTTTTTCTCAGTCTCGTCTTCGGCACTACATGCACATTAAGCATGCCAATTTTTTCTGGTACGTCCGTGAGGAATTTCGACCTCAATTCTAGCATTAGATTAGTTGTTTCGATCACTTCAGAAACTTCTTCCAAAGGGATGAAATTAAGCATTTCTTACAGTTCTCGGTACACGTTTCATATTAGTTTCAGAGAGATATGAAATGTATAAATTTATCGCAACAAGTATCAGCTGCTTATTGTATCACTTTGGAACGCTATTCCTTGACAGGACGCTTTTTTGAGACTCTCATCGGAGTTCGTAAGCAGCCGATGTATAGCCTGCTCCTGAAGTTGTTCGTGGTATACTTGATGGAACCCGTGTGTACGGTTGTCTTTGTCACTAACATGATACGAATTTGGGAAAAGGTTATGAAAGAACTGCGATTTCAAGTCTTTCAGCGTGTGCTTATTCAAAAGGTTGTTACTTACCTTCACCCAGAGTGCAGTTTTTCCTCTTCCTGTTTCTTGTTTTTCCTGTTTGATGCTTGCCTAGGCAGAAGAGCTCATAGAGATGAGCTTTTTCTTGTAATTATTGGCACCCGATGAGCTGACTTTTTATTACCATGGATCACTAAGTCTTGTATCAGTAAGTAGCCCATTGTGTCAATGATTATGGGCTTGAAAGTCAAAATTTATCAACCAAAGCTCCTAGTTAGAAGCAACTTGAAGGCTTTTGATAACAAACAGTTTGAAGTAAAACACGAACTTAATGATTGAATATAGTCTCCATTTAAAAATTTGCTAGAGGCCAACACCTCGGGGGAAATCTTAAGCTCATTCATGACCTTCACTCCTTGGGCTAAAGAAGCTTCCCTCTATCATCGGAAGGTTCCTCATGTTATTCCATTCTTAGGTTCGTCAGATCTCCACTGTGCGCCATATAGATATTTACGTTACTCTCAGATCAAAGCTAGCTAAGAGAAGGAAGTGTTTGGGAGTGTGTCAACCATTAAAGTTTAGACCATTGAAGGATTTTGTGACTTCCCGATCTTTAGACGTGTGTCAATAGCTGAATCAAATATTTTGATCGGTGTTGTCAATGCAGGTGGAGTTTTTTGATGAACACAAGGTACGTTGACACTGCCATTTACTTCGGTCTGTTTATTTGTACAATTTCTCTATTTTTCTTCCTGTGAAAGCTCGATGTTTAATCTGCAGCAGCGAATTTGACTCAGGTGCTTCGTAAGTGGGCTTCTAATAAAGACGGACTAGTTATTTGTATGGGCAGGTGGGTGAGCTTACGTCTCTTCTGTCGACAGATTTAAATGCTATCAAGGACATTGTAAATGAGAACGTCGCCAGGGACCGAGGTTTTCGTTCCTTTTCAGAGGTAAAGTTTATTGTCTCGTGGTCTAATAGAGATGGAGTAAATTAGCTTTTTCTCTTGGCTAGCTGTCTGTTTGTTAGAGCTTGTAATGTTCAAGATATACTTTCACACAATCGACTGTTCTAGACGGTATGAAGTATATGAACTTCGTTTTTTGCAGGTTTGTGGAACAGTGGTCATTCTCTTCGTTTTATCACCCGAGCTAGCTCCTGTGATGTCGGTCCTCATGATTTCCATTGCGGGAATTGTTGGTAAGGATACTCTGAGCATACCAAGTGTCAAAATAAGAATATTGAGTACTTAATTGGTGAATGGAAATCTTGACGAAGTCAAGATTATTCAAAATCAATGAATAAAAGTAGTCAAAATTGCCTGATTTTTGAAAATGGTGTGCATTGACACCTAACAATTCTTACAAGTCTAGTCGATGAGTTTCTTCCTAGTGCCGAGTTATGCTTTATCAATAGTTCAGGATTTCGATCATGCCAAAGAATTCCATGCGCTGTTAGTCATTTTTGACGTACATTACTTCCGAGTATACCTTACACTGTGTACATACTCTGGCTTGCTAATGTTTATGTATTTTAGTCTTTGGTGTCTGGCTTTCGTTTATATGAAAGTCTATTGTTCCTCTATCTAAGGTACGAGGCACCTCTTTTACAGCAATTTATAAACGCACAACGATGCCTGTATTTAAGGCACACGGCTTGTCAATGGCACGGATCAGTGACCTCGTGGGGGAAACCTTTTCTGCTATCAGGACAGTAAGTGAATGACAAAGGGTTTCTAGCATCTGATCTTATGCTCGTCTCGCAAGTTTATATTGACCTGATTGCGTCTAATTAGAATCCATTCTTAATCAGGACTGAGATAAGAGTGCGCACTAACCTGTATCTACTGAACAGGTTCGATCTTTTGGTGGTGAGAGGAGACAAACATCCATGTTTCAAAGTCAGGTAAGATTGGAGACCACTAAGACTCTAATATCTTGGTTGTGAATATATCACCTACGACGAAGGTGTTTAGCCGAACGAAATGCCATTCAAACCTTATGAAAGTAATTTGTGTCCTCTACTGGACTGCCTTTAAGGAAATACTTACGGCAAGGGAATACTCATGGGATTCATCGAGTGGGATTATGATACAGGTGCTGGCGTACCAAGAGAGTGGCAACAAGCTTGGATGGCTAAAGGCAGCAAATGAATCCTGGACACGCGTTGTGGTGTATGTAGCCCTGATGGCTCTATACATACTCGGTGGAGCGAAAGTAAACGCCGTGAGTAGTCTGCATATCTTGCGAGTTGATACCGGTGACTAATGAGTAAATTCTTGTCAAGAACTCTTCTCGTTCAATCTAATCCGAAGTGTGGAATCTTTACTACTGGGCTCTAAACATCACCCGAACTTAGGACATGGGGTCCTTACAGTCAGAGCTGAACCAATACAGGATGAGACAGAGATTTGACTTCTTTTATTCATCCTAACTTAGTTCAGTGTTTGAACCCATGCAGTACCGTTATTTTGAAATCTGGTTACGAAGACCTGAGTTATTGTTCGGAAAACCCCAGCGGGTAGCCTTCTCCTGACTTGAAAATTAATATAACGTATTCTTAATGCAGGGCGAGTTGCCAGTTGGACGGATGGTTTCGTTTATTGGATACACATTCACTTTGACTTTTGCTGTAAGTGACCACCATCGCTTGTGTGTAGTAATTTATTTCAATCTGCAAATTCTACACTTGAAATCGATTTCTATGGCACTTGTGAACAGCCGTTATTGTGTCTTTCTTGAACAGTAGGCACAGCTTTGTTCGGTAGTTTTTGAACATGTTAGTACTGCATTCTCATCAAGAAGGCAAACAGTGCATAGACCTGGACGATTAGGTTAGTCGAAGTACAAGTCTGGCTATATGGTAAGAACCAACAACTTCAAAACTTCTCCCAAAAATAGGCCTCATTATTGTTTTAACTGAATTTCATGCCCGCAGATGCAAGGATTGGTTAATACATTGGCAGATCTGAGGGGTGCCTTCGCTGCTGTTGATAGAATCAACACAATCATAGGAACTGGAAAAGTAGACGAGTCTCTCGCCCTTGGGCTTGAACTGGATATGAGTGAAGACCATGCAAAGAGTGTGGAGAAATCGTCCAACGGAATTTTTTCAAATACATCGCGTGCTACTTCAACTGATGAGGACAAGCTGGGGCCACGCACTACCGTTTGTGATTTAGCCTGGTCAGGGGATGTCGCTCTTGAAGGTACTCATGAAGACATAGTCTGCAGTGGACATCTATAAACTTAGACTAACAAAGAGTTGTGAATAACAGTCGTGAATAACAGCGTGGGTCAGTTATCGTGTCAACTTGTCTGAACTACTCGTGTACTGTCAGCGGTTCAACAGACTACACTTTCTCCCCCGGGCATATCTCATTGAATATGTATCGGGTTGGGTCTCTAAATACGTAATTGTCAATGTTTTGTCTCCGAAGATGCCTGTTTCTCCTTCGCTACTTCTACTTTGCTTCAAGTCTTGTCTTCTTACATCTCGTATGTTTTTATGTTTCTGCCCTTAAGCCGAAAGCAGAATTAGGTTTGTGCAAGCGGGTACTGCCTTGCCTCCCCATGCAATAGCTCGGTCCTCCCTGGCAACCTGCAATAGTGCAATCGTCGTGGTACTCACTGCTTACTCCCTCGCATGACTTCGGGCAGAAACCTATATACTTCGGTACTAATTGATGACTCTTCTTAGTTCTTAAATGTCAAAGTGAAACTTCTCAGTCAGCTGTGGGTGATCTGGGTCCTGATTGCATTTCCCTTGGTAGCCTACATGTTACCTAAGTTCACTGGATTTCAAGTTCGTTTTAGTTCTCTTCGTTCCATGTCATGCACCTGTGATTGCTCCTGTGTTGTCAGACTTAATACCACGCTAGAATATGGACCTGAATACGCGGAGAGCCTTTTTATCTCAATAAGCTGTTGTTCTTCTAATTTGCCTTCGGGCTCTGTCACCAGCCTCTCTGGTTCAGCCACCATAAACCCTTTTCTTCTATGTGTTTGCCTTTGCTTTTTTTGTCATTTTGAGCAATCTTGGATTGATCATTTCACTTCGCAATACACGAAACCCTTAACCCTTTGCACAAGGGTTAAACCTGCCCAGAAAAAACCAAAATCTTCTGTTATATCTAACTTTCTGTCATTTGTTGGTTCGGTATTCCCGAAATTGTCCAAAATGAGTAGGATCATTGTCACTAGCTCAAGAAGAGCAATGGTTGCCGAAAGGGATGCTAGTGGAATTTCTTGCAGAGAACCTTTGCAGTTTTCAATTGATGTGTATAACACTAAATCAGAAGAGATTCCTCTGTCATGACAACTTGGCTCCTGATGCAGATGTACACTTTGCATATCCTTCAAGACTAGACGCAGAAGTGTTGAAGGGAATCAACATAATCTTAAAAAGTGGCACTGTTACGGCCCTTGTTGGAAGTAGTGGTTCTGGGAAAAGCACAATTGTCCAGTTATTGGCCCGTTTCTATGAGGTAATACAATCATATCTCTTAGCCATGAATTGTCATCAGAAGAGGGGAACAGATAAAGAAGTACTTTGTTTCTTTGTTCACGTGGTTTGCCATTTGTTTAACGAAATGCATTTCCAAATTTTGAGACATAGATGGAATTTCAAATCTCTTCATTATTTTATTTTGCCTTGCTTCAGCCAACGAAAGGACGGATAACTCTTGGTGGAGAAGATGTTCGAAAGTTTGACAAAACCGACTGGGCAAGGGCAGTTTCGATTGTCAATCAGGTCTTAAGCATTTTCTTTGTAATATTACGTCTTGACAAGTAGTCCACGTGATTTTAGCTTTTTTAGCTGTTCTGTACAACCAGTTTTACCAAATCTGTCAAAAAAGTCTCACATAGACACCCGAACAGGAGCCTGTCTTATTTGCCATGTCAATCGGAGAAAACATTGCGTATGGTGCACCCTTCAGAGAAGTTAGCACCGACGAAATAGTGAAGGCGGCTGAAGCTGCTAATGCACATGATTTCATTCAATCCTTACCGGAGGTAAATCACCTGGCTTCATACTTATCATTAACGTAAAATGAGGTAAAGTCTTCTGTTGCTGCAGCATACATCGTCCTTGTTCCGAAAGCCACTCATGAACACCTTGTCATAGCATTGTCTCTGTTATTGTCATGGATGCACTTTCGTGGCAAGAATGTGACTAACATACGTGTTGTCTTGCAACGCAGGGATATAACACAATGGTGGGAGAACGAGGAAGCTTACTTAGTGGAGGTCAACGACAGGTACGATTCAGCGTGAAAACATCGTTATTGTCTTGACAGGGCGGTACTCTAACCAATTGAACCTCAATCCCATTAGATAAATGCATTTTTTTCAACAACAGGCAGAGTAATAATTGTTTCTACTTACATAAATCTACGCCTTCTGTATTCTTCACTTGCTTTCAGATATTAAAGATGTACGCTTTCAGACTCCGTTTCATGTACTGTGTAAAACTGATTTTTTTTTGCCCTCAGCGTGTCGCAATTGCAAGGGCATTGTTGAAGGATGCTCCTATTTTGATATTGGATGAGGTAATGTACAAGTACCTTAAAGATGAATGCCATTTTTAAGCTCGTTGCCAAATATTGTCACTCCTTTTTTCCTCGTCAATTTCTTTGCGAGAAGATGCATCAGTCCTGAAGTCATTGAAGCAACTACTGGAAGCCTGTGATTTGAGCCCATGAATTCATTTGAGGGCAAGCTTTGTGCTTAGCTTAAAAAGTTCTCTCAAGTTGAGACCCATGACAGTAATGTTCCTGAAGGTGGTTGTGCAGTACCTTCTCTCACGAAAATTTCGTTCTAACTTCTTCCCATCACATCGAAAGTGATCTTCTTTCATCGTCTTGACCAGACTCGCTTCCTTATTTCCTGGTTAATATCATTGTCAATTTATCATGTTTTTGAAAAAGCGTTGTCTAAGACTTATATTAGCCGAAAAGCCTCAGGGAGTAACAAATATCCGTCTCCAACTTCTGTAAAAGTATTCAATTGAGAGGACTTTCTCTTGAAAGCGGACTCGACATTGTCTTGCAAATTTAGTTTTCAGACCTGTTTTTTTAAACTTGTTTGAAAACAAACTGGCCGATTTTTGCAGGCAACGAGTTCTCTGGATAGTGTAAGCGAGCGCCTAGTGCAGGACGCCTTGGACATTCTGATGAAGGTTCGTATATAAAGTTCCACATCCTCAGATTTCTTCTTCTTTTGGACAATTTTCGTTACGTTAAAAGGTCGGGTAGGTGTGTGCCAGCGCTAAGAATCTGCTGTCCTCATGATGATCCCACACAGAATCAGCTGGCTTCATCATGGATACAGGGGTAACAGTTCACCTGTTTGTGTAGACATCCGCAACAGTATTCAGGGATCTCAATGGTGTGCTTATGATTGTCATTTTACAGGGAAGGACGACTCTTGTTATTGCTCATCGTTTAAGCACAGTCCAAGCGGCACACCAGATTGTGGTTTGTGGAGAAGGTCGTATTTTAGAAACGGGAACCCATTTAGATCTGCTGTCAAAGAAAGGCACGTATGCTAATCTTGTGCAAACACAAAGAGTGAGTTTTGAGTAATATTGACTTTTTTGGAAAAAAATTGTACGGACGGAATGGATGACAAAAGAACTCGCAAGATCTTGAAGTGCCGAAGAACACATGAAGAAAGCTTCGAATTACATTGTTCGTGATCCCAGAACATGCTGATCTTTTCTCCATTGTGAGTTCTTGTAAGGAAAGGGATTTGAAAATGAGATGCCTCAGAGACCTTCAATTCTCTCCCGGAATCGAGAATTCAGGTAGAGAAAGGAAGGTCAGAAAATCGAAGGGCTACGGTTTAATTTATTGGCTTTGATGGGTCTGCAGTTCTGGGTCCAATAATTGAGAAAACGGTGTCAAGAGCATTTTTGTCAAGGTGTGTCAAGATATACTTTTTATCATCACAACAACGGTCAGGGCATATAAGCAAAAATTACATCGTAGAATTCTGACTACCCCATTGCGGTTGAGGCGAATAACAGATAATGAGGAATGTTGAAATCAAAACAGGAGAGATGTAATGTGCGACTTCCGACTCAGATAGGACAACCTTATGGGAGGAGTAGCCGGAAGTTCAGGGTATGATCTGCCTTGCAACATCTTTAAACCAAAGTTATGATACTAATTCAGCGCTCGTGAGCTCCTAGCTCTCTATCCCCTACAAGCAGATTCGAACTCCATAACTTGCGAGCGGTCCGGGCTGCCGCTTACTCCGCGATGCTTGCGGGGTCAGTTCGTGCCCAGAAATCGTCCAACACTCTGTCGAATACCTTGAAGTTGGCTGAAACTAATGAAGGCTAGAACTGATCGTACCACAAAACTCAATTTGTAATGCAGAGTTCTAATCACTGGGATATCTTCAGGGTTGAAGTTATCAACATTTAAAGGAGGAGAGCTTGGGAGACATGAGAACAAGTTCACTGTAGAGTCCGATCTATTTAGTTTCTAACTTGTACCGATCACTGCAATTTCTTTTGAGTAGTACATTTTAAACTGGATGTCGTGTAGCTAGATACATAACAAACGTAGCATGCAAGCATAGTACGTGCGAAATGTTTTAGCTAATTTTCAGACATTTACACGACTTTTGGATTACCAAGGTAATAATATTCATCTAATAATACTGTATACATTTCCTGAGAATCAAGTTATTTTATTCTCTGTAATTTTTTTGTACATTACATGATTTTCATTGGGGATATGTAAAATGGCATGGATATTTGCAAAAAGTTGAGAGTAAAAAACTAATTTCACTCATGACATACAAACCACAAAAATAATATGTCCAAAAATATGATGTAATATTCAATGTTTTATGGTATCATGTATGTTTAAGTTTGTTGAAAAAAGGTTTGCAAGTTCATAAGAAGTATCATAACATTTTGATATCAGGAAGAGAACAAAAACAACTCTTGTCCATTTTGATCGTTAAAGAAGGTAGAAAGGATGGCTCAAATAATATTGTTGCTCTTCAATGAAAACCATCATCAACCAAACTTCCTATATCCTGCAGTAAACAACATGATTAACAAAAGTTTGAACAAAATGAATTACATACATAAATATACAATTTTAGAGAGAAAATTCTGTCACGTGTAAGACTGGTCTAATTATATGAACCTAGGAAAAAAGCTAGATAGAAGTTTCTTATAAGGACATATGGTTTAGAATATTATTTAGTTATAGATTTCTTACATAAGAGTTATGATATATTCTAAGTGTAAAGTTCTCATAGCTTTTCAAAAGCGATGAGAACTTCTTCATAATGAAACCATTCATTACAAAAACTGTCCGAGAACTCATTTTTTTGAAAAAATTGAGTAATTTCCAGGTATAAATTCATTCATTAAAAATGTGATTTTTCGTATACTTGGATTAACAGTACGGCAATAACAACGAAGATGTTTAAACATGTTCTGTATTAAAAGTTACCAGTGTTGCTGATCATCCTCTCAGACCAGGTACTGATCGTCGCCTTCGTAATCTTTTACAACCTCCCCAACTAGGTAATAAGAAGCAAGCCCCTCATCAGGCGGATTAGTCCTTTTGCTCTTCAGCCTATGGGTACTAGCAACCGTTTCGAGCTGTTGTCCCACTCCGAAGATAAGGTCCTTCACTTCAAACCCTTTGTCAATATATCAACTAAACAATAAATTAGATACACATGTTCATGTGATAATGCATGGAAAATTATCGTACCAGGCAATAAGAGATGTGATGAAAATGGTTGAACTCTGGTTATTGTGATAGCTCATTAAGTAAATCATTTTCATCACAACGATTTGTTCAGAGTAATCATTTGTTCTACAAGTATTGAAACATTTGAAGAAGCATAACTGAACATGATTATCTACTGAAATCAGGAGTCACATCAATTAGTGGTTATGTGTATTACTAAGAAAAAAAATTGACTAAAATTAATTTTGAAATAAATTTAAGAAGAAAGTGACAGCTCTATACTATTGTATGATATTCTTTCAGTTTCGTGTCAAATTCGGTGTTCATTGCTCTCAAATTTCTAAGCTGTAATAATAAGTATGTTACCTCTCTTCATGAACCTTGATATGGATCGTCACCTCTTACTACACTCGATGCCAATTGGCTTATTATAACCCTTGCAGGCAACCTATTAGAGTCCAGGTTATACTGAATTCATGTGCTATTAGGAAGAATAACATCATTTGAGCAATGAGCTCTTATGAATTGAGTAATCAATAGGGTGGATGTATTCCGGTGTATACCGCGGTTTTCCAGTTTAAGCATGGAAGAATATTAAGTTCATTTTCGCCAGTAAGTGAAGTGCGGCGGGATAAGTTCGAGTAGCTTCGTAGTTCACTTATCCATCAGCCACATTTATTGGGAGATATGGCGGACTTCGATCTCTCGATTCAGGGCTGGAGGATTGGACACGATTGGTCGCTTCAAGCGGGGAGTTACCCATTGTCTTCGAGGATAGCAAATAGCATGTGCGCAAAGTTCATGAAGTACAGTACAACTCAGGCAAAGAACTTCGAAGACAAGGAATGCCGTGATTGGCCCACGAGCTAAAGTAAAACTGTTTCAATTTAGAAAGACGAAGGAAGATGGCGGATATGGGAAGAGGAAGGATAATGTTGATGAAAATGACGAAGGGCTAGGGGGTTATCGCCAACGAGTCCAAGAACGAATCGGAGACCGGAGGCCCGCCACGTCCCCAGAGGATAAGCATTTCCTGGATGCTCCGCTCGGCTGGGCTCTTGAGATCTTTCTATCCGCCCTTCCGAGCGTGACCCCGATCACCGCATGCTCTGCCATAGCCGATCTCATACTCACCGAGCTTGAAGTGCTGAGTATCAGTCCAGCAGGTCAGAAGCTCATTTCTCGGCTAGCGACTCACAGCCCCTGCTCTCACTTCTCTGCAACGGTCAAGCTCCGAACATTTACGGCTCCGTCGAAATGGCGTGCGTTGCAGCTGTTAGCGTTGTGGCTGCCGTGACCCCGGTTGCTCAGCTCGGAGAATCGAGGGTTCTTTCCCGCCAGGGAGCAGTCTTGGCTGCCCCCAAGAGCCTGTCCTCCAAGCTCGTTGTCAACAGGAGTCGCGTTGTGATGAGGTGAATGTCTGCACTCTCTTTCGGTTGCTCTGGTCAAGATGGTAGGGTTGTGTGAAACCTAACATGACGGTGGAAGCAGTTTAGTTCCGCGACGCACGACGATGGGAACGTCGCTCGCTGTTTCAGCACAGGGATCGGACACTTTATGCTTGGTCTTTCGATTGCACTCTAACCTGCGCCTAAAATGTCTCTCCTCGTTACAGCGCCGCACCACAAAAGGACCAGAACATGGCTGGACTCACCTCCGTTGCTCTGTTGGCCGCTGCCATCATCCCCGAGATCGCTGAAGCCGCCCAACCTGGAATCTCCCCATCGTTGAAGAACTTGCTGTTGAGCGTCGTCGCCGGAGGAGTCGTGTTGTCTGCCATTGGTGTAGCCGTTGCCGGCGTGTCAACCTTCGACCCCGTCAAGAGACGGTGAACAATGGGGATGTGTAGACTATGTGCAGTGACACCGAACTTGTCGACTTGTTACAGTAGTTTTTGTATGTAGATGGACGACCTTAATTCTCCACTTCGATCAAAATTGATTGTTTGTGATTGAGCATACTGGGACTTACTGCCTAGATCTTGGCCAGCAACAATTGGTTAGAGCAGCAGCGGGTTTGTCTCTGTTCTTCAACCTGGTTGGACCCGGAATCTCTGTCCGCCATGTCTTGCGAGAGATATTTCTTGATGTTGAGGTCGATGTAGCATATGTTTCAATGAATGGCAGGAGTATTTGACCAGATGATCACGTGCACCTGTCTGAAATTACTTGACTTCACTAGGCTGATTAGATCAACTTTGTTGTGAGTATACGTCGTGGGAGTCATGTTGGAGTGAATGTGTTGTATATTTGCTTCGAAAGAATTGAACTAAAAAAATTTACGACTTCTGTCAATTACCTTTATCCGTAGATTACTCTAGTTAGGAATAACTGATGAATGGATATGTGTCAGCTATTGTATACGATCATGTTTCATGTGTAGAAGTTCCCGATCGAGTAGTCGAACAAAATGGGTCTAAAATAAACGAAAGAAGTCGGATCAAATACGTAAAATAGTGGTGTTTCTCTGCATATTAATATACATCCTGAACTGAAAATAGAGAAAATGTCATAAATAGAAATGAACATGAAAATAAAATATAACGAGAAAGAACGAAAAATAAATAAAAGGTTAAAAAGACGTTGATCAGCACATGTGAAAAAGGAAAATGAAAGTTAAATTTACAGTTTGTATCGACGGAAGTAAACCACCGTAACCTATTCAGTAAAAGATTTTTTTCTAATTTTTTTCACGCCAGAAATCATATTTGAATACGATGGAAGAACAGAAAGACTCTTAACTAAGGAATGTAAAATATCCAACGCATATAAACTACGACGAAAAATATACATTGTATCCACATAAATCTGTTAGGGAAGAAAAAAATGGCTGGATTAGAACAGATAGTGCAGCAGACTATGTAAATTTGACCTCAACTACCCGAAAAAATGATAAAATATGATAATTTATTCTTCAAATCACAGAAATGACCAAAAGATAATCTAGCGCTACGCATAAGGGAAGATTGTCTGCTACTATCCCTTACGTATACGAAAGTTCACTGGTTGTTCAAACTTGGGGAGAAGTAACTTAGTACAATACAATGGCTTTTGCATGCAAACTAATTGAACTTTCCACTTTTCAATGTTGAGACTGAAGAGCTTTCGTCGCCTCCGCACATCTTTCCTCTTCAACAGCAGATCTGATCTTTCTCACTAGCTATACATAATATGAACGTACGTAAGTCCATCCTTTGTCTGTTCCACTCGGATTAAGTTATCAACTTTTTGTCGAACCAATCTTTGGATGGTGGGCCATACGGTGGACTGTTTTCTTGATTGTCCAACACATACGAGTCAAAACGACCTTTCTGGTGTGGTCAGATAAACCTCGTAGAATGAATTTACAGTCTTTGTCTTCCAGAGTACTCCGTTCTCAGCAGAGCACATCATGATGGATAATGAATACAATGAGTACTAACTGAACCTCTATGCTCTGATAAGATACCTGAATGTGCACCATCTATAGGTCGGAAACGTCAATGTTTGTGAAGACTTTCGAACTCCGATCTTAAATTTGGCAAGAGGGTTGCTGTTGTGTATGAGCTGTAACTTATTAGTCCAATTTTCGCCGAGTCCCCATATCCGTGAAAGGAAAGAAAAGGAGTCATCTTATTTGTTTCAAAGTAAAAGGCTGCTGTTGCTTCTCTGTATATGATCTAAGTCCATTGCGTGTCCACGAAGTAGCAAGACGAGGTATACCTGGATTCTTATGTCATCAGATTTGGTTTTGCAGTCCCACTCAACTGTCATGGTGATAGTTGATCAATATGGAATCAATTTCCATGGATTGTTGGCGTGAATCACGTAATCAGCAACCAGTTAAGTATGCAGCACAAAAAATCCTGTAATTATTCTACGATGAGATTTTCTCTTTCCAGCGCTAACGCCAAGCCTCCCTCACGTTAGCAGACGAGGGGTGCTGATTTAGGTCTTGTACCAACCTTGTTATAAAAGTTGGAATGAATGCTCTGTCCAGGTAGGCTATCAAAAGTTGTATCATAACTTCTTCAACTCCATCTCCTATTTGGTGCCGTATCCTTTAAAAGACCCTTCTTGCCTCACATTCGGTTTTCAGGTCAATCCTTGACCTCACTTACTTCGATATCACTCTCAGCTGATCTACATAGAGTACTTTTACAACTTAAAGCGGAACTGATGTACAAACGTCCAATGATGATGAGTGGCATAGCTCGAGCTGGAGCTGCGTATCCCTGCATCATAATGTTCAGTTTCTTCTGTTTTTAGGCTGAAGCACAGATAGCAATCGCTTTCTGCGTTCTTCTGTGCAGTCAACCCTTTCTTTGATGAATGGTTTTACGCCATCCAGGACTCATAATTGTCACACAACGAACCCAGTTGTAGTTCATGTATTTGGAAACAACTATAGTAAGGACATGTACTGTACACACGACTGTCTATTGGTCGAAACGATCCCTAGTCTTCTCCTTCTACCCAGCAACTGAGGTTTCCGTGTCCACCATCCGCTAGAGCTGTAAACAGAAGAGACAGCGACAGATGATCGGTTGGTGTTCCATGTCATGCGAATAACCGCACATTAAAGCATTTAGTATTCGTAGGCTTGATAATTGAGTGAGTTAGGTGCATGAGTTCACTCAGTGTCTAAGTCTTCTCGAGGACTCTCAGAGTTCAAAGAGAGGCAGAAGCTTTTTCCCTCATATTACTGCAAACAACTACGTCAAACTCAAGCGCCGTGTTTCCATGAAGAGGGTAGTGAGTCTCTTCATTCTTGTGGTCTCTGTATTCAGGGAATGAAAGAAAGTTGGCACGAGTCGGATGATTCAAGTTCTTGATATATCTCATGATCCACAGATGAGGGCACTCAGGTTACAGCATGGATAGTTGTTATAAATAGCATGTTAGTGACGACCATCTCTTTGCCTTATTAGATTGTATCTGATTAGACAAACCGCGGAGGCACTGCTTATCCAACAAAGGCAGTGAGTATGTTTCTCAAACGCGGGCGAAAATGCCGAATACGCGAGTTCAAGGTCAAGAGAAATATGCAGGGTCACAAAACACGGAATAAGGTTGATAGTCCAGGATCATCACAGGACTCGGGGTCAACATTGGCGGAAAGTCCGTCTCTCTTTGGTGTTCCTGTAACTTAAGTCTCAGTTGTCCAAGCAAGGATGACTTTCACTCGCTGGAAGCGGGAATCCATGCTGCAGTTGAAGCTCAGAAGGATCCTTCAGACCTGAAGCAATTCGGCATACGCCTTCACTTACAAGATTTTGATATCATAAACTTAGCTGGTACTGGGTTCAAGCGCATGCACAACATCCACTACGTAAATGACTTGAAACGAGGTTTGAAACTAACGGCACCTCAGATGAAGAGCAGTCAGTTGTTTTGCTGTTTGAAATGGACGTCGAACACAGAGGGGAGTTTTTATAGAGGGAGCTCCGCTAGTAAAACAGGTCAAAGATTTGGACACTTACTCCTTTCGATGTCTGTGACGTGGTTGAAGCTCGTACTGTTGAAGGTCTGAATAAAAACTAGGACTCTTGAAACTTGGAATCTCCAGATGTATGTTTCTTCTCAAGAGAAAGCATTAGGACTTTCAAGATTCGCAAGTTTGCCACGACAAGCTGTAGGTTATAATCACGAGCTGGAAACTGATTGTTCATTGACATCTCTGTTGGCAGAAAAGAAACCTGCTCTCAAGAAATACCACTTTGCTGTACAGATATTCCCCGTATTAAAGAGATATAGAAAATTGGTCCTTTAATGATGCTAAAATAATTGAGAAAGGGCACCCTTTCCAATTAGCCAGGACATTTCCGAGTTGCACTCGGAAAGAGCACGGAAGTCTAGATGTCTCTCAATATTGTCCGCTTATGGACAAAGGTTTACGCACAAATCCAGAGATCCGAATCTAGTAATGTGAGGTGTTTGGTGTAAAGCCAACCACCTCTTCGGCAACTGGGCCAGAATCAGTTTTTTGTTCAATTACAGCTTTCGAGGCACGCAACTGCTCCTTGAAATCAACCTATCGCCTTCGCGGGTAAGTCCACACTTGCCTAATCTTGACCAGTTTGCCTCAGTCGTCCCAACATGGGCATATGGTCAGAGACTAGATCTGTTCTTTGTGATCTGGACATTGCCATCCCTCAGATTTGGCGAACTTATTTGTTTCTGTGAATTGCGAAGGTTCTACGGAGGTCTAATCCGTATAACCTTTGAGGACATCGTAAGCCAAAATGAGCTTCAATGATTTCTTTCAGGGTGAGTCTCAAATTCCCCGACTCGGAAATAAAATTAGTCTTCTCTATCCTGGAAGTGAATATTGGGCTGCGAACTCACCGGAGTTGAAGAACTCAACTTGATTGTTTATGAGTTTCGATGTAAAGAGCGTGCATCGGGTTTGTATCATAGTTACCCTTAAGAGTGGAATTTAAGGACAGCTTACGATGACTTCATACACCGCAATATGAAAGACTCATGATCGACAGAACTATATACGTACCACAACATTTTTCCTCTGCAATTATCACCGCGAAATGTTGTGGTCCGAGCCCTCCATTCCTCATGGACCAAGAATCTAGAGATATTGATGGCGTGATGACCTTTACGAGCAGTAAAGAGAGACTGGACGAGACGATATGTTACACGTGATTAGTTTCACATTCTTCACCGGTAGATCGTTCGGTGGCATGACTAGTTCAGCGTTATGCGAAATCACGTTCATACGAGCCTTATGATCAGATCTGAACCTCGTTAGTTTGTGCAGTTTACATATTTTACAACGCGAAATATACACATGCACGGAGACGACGTCAACAATATGAAGGCGGTTGATTGATCGCATGCGTAGAAAAGATATCTGTGCCCTCGATGACTAGTTACCGCCGATCCCATGCCATTGAACGTTCGATTTGTCTTAGACCGATGGCCTGCGCCAGACATCCACCTTCCGATGCCTGTCCTAGTCGAACGTACTCAACTGTCAAATGGTCTTTATCTCTCAAATGACCTTTGTTCTCATGTATAGCAAAAGTTGACCACCATGAAAAGATAGTTCGCTTTTGTTTGCCCTCGTTCCTTGGTCGCCACTCAAGATTCAGTAGTTGTTTCATTGAGCAAGAATTCCTTCAAGATTTTGTGTGTGTTTGACTAAGTGGCAAACACTAATTGACAGCTGTCCTTTTTTAAGCATTCACTTATTGCTCTTCTTCAAGAACACTGTCCGGATCCTCAGTGGATCACCTTGGCTTCTCAAAGTAGCAGACGGGAGTGAGGCGACTATGGCTCCTCGCACGATGGGTTGACCCCATTATAAAACAGAAAGCTTAGACGTGTCTAATATTATACTCCGAAAAACAAGGGCTCAATTAAGACCTTCATCTGTCACAGTAGGATCCTTTACCCTTCCATATCATGATCAGGTACAGTTCAGTGATTTGTTTCCAGATTTACGTTCTATTGGCTGATTACTCAAGTTCTCGGTTACAGAGTGTGCTATATCGGAATCGTACCTTACAATTCAATATATATTTGACAGGAAACGCAAGGATGCCGTCAGCGGGTACCTGTCTTGTGGGGGAATCACCGTAAGAATGACATATTAACCTACATATAATATATAACCTACTATGATATCGGCCGCGAGTCTGATGATATGCCACCGTCTTTTCTGAAGTTTTGGTCAAGAAAACAGGATTCAGAATGAACTTCTTCTTACACTTGATATCATAAAAGTACACATTTCTCAGCCCGACTCAAGAAGGTACCGTCTTTTGACAACCATATGCACTTTCTTCTAATATGCATGTGCATGGCTATAGAGAAACTGGATGCATCCTTCTGATTGTTTATACATCGATTTTCGTTCAGAGTAATCTCATCATTGCCAAGCGCATTGCATGGCAGCGACTTGTTCAGTATTTGTCTGGAAGTTTGGAACGTAAGGCATCCACTACGTACGTCTGTTTGCAGTCCCATGTGACAGCTGGTCGACAAAGGCCACCCACCCTGATGCACTTGAAAGTAAGAGAGGATATCTACCTGCAAATCAAGAACTAGGGATATATGTTGGTCACCATTCCCTTTGAGATCGGCCGTATAACTGTATATTGATACTTTCACTCGCCAATGAAAAAGAATTTCGCCCTTTGACCCAAGACAAGTTCTATAATTAGTTGCATTCTGCACCACAGCTATGCTGCGACCTGAAGATCGGTGCAGTAGTTGGTTATAGATGTGATTATAGATTTTATTGTCCAAAGTGATATAAATTTACTAGTGACGATTGACGATTTTCAAGAGCCATATTTAAACGACTTGAGGTTCCAACCAGCATAATTTGTATGGAACTGAATTTTCAGCATTTGGAATTAAATCTGGAATTTAGTTTGTTGTGTTCTAGTTGAAGTTGGGAATTCTTGGGAGAATTATGAGAAGCCCCCTCGAGCTCTAGTTAGTGATATCACGTCAGCTCAATACAGAGTAAAAATATGTACGTATATTTGTCAGATCAAAGAGTTCTCATATTATATCAACAAAGTCATAGGCATTTGCAAAAAACGTCGATGTTAAGAGATACTTAGCAAAATATTTAGAAAACGCAGAGTTTTTTAAAGTGAGGCAGGCTAGAGAAGTTGTTCATGAAATGTGCTGTTTGTACTTAAAATCTTTAACTTTGTCAAGAAAAACCCTGGAAATGTCACACTGTAAATACAAGTACAAGTATTGCTTCTGATGTAGGTATCGACGTCTTCTCAATTTGTAGTAAACACTTCTTGATATAGAAAAATTGCTTGCTGAATTTCTCGTTTATTCGAACCGCACTGGTATTCGACTCAGGGTTCACAATTGTACAGATGGATATTTGATATTTCTATCATCATGTTGAATTTTGACTGGTATGGAGATGATACTAGTCTGCAACTCTTCAAGTCGTTTAAAGCCTCACCCCTGAGAATGCCAGAGAAACTTCTACACCAGGCGGTTCCTAAATTTTGTGGGAGGTCCTTTCCTACAGAGTTGGATTGAGGACACTCAGGTCATTATATATAAAGAGGAGAAGTTTGGAAATTTTCGTAGACCAAAGCGATCTGTATCAATTTGTTGAAGGTCGTGTGTTCAAGCTTGTGAGTCCATGCCCTGGAAATGCATACCCATCGAAACGTCCACGCCGTTGTAAGTTGTAGGTGCGTATATCCAGTATTCATCAGAACTTAAATACTGCAACCTCCACGATACAGAAGCAGACGTCAGATCTTTCTTCAGGCCTGCATACACTTCAGTGTCACTATTTGGTTCCTTTAACTCCCCTTCAAACAGTGAATATAATAATAAGCTGGGCAACAAAATCCACGCACCCTCACTTGCAGTTGCAGAAATTTGACGTAGCTGATTGCCTCCTCCAGCATCGTTACTATATCAACCTAGCCATACCATGGCAAGATCAGAAAGACATCAGATTGCTCAGAAAGACATCACGACTGTCTTAGATAAGGGAGGTAAATCTAGGGAAGAATCAAGTCAGTGACAATCCAGTGAGCCTGCTGACGTTCCTGTGTTTCCATTACGTGAAGAGTGCAAGATACCGTGGTGAAATTGTACTGAAGTGGGGTGCATACCTTAGCTCCATTGGGAACAAGGTGTTGTAGAATTTTCAGGCGCTCAGTGATGCGTTCCCGTCTGTGCTGAAAACATATTGAGTGGTTTACTTAGAGTACAAAATTGACATACATTGGTTTTGCCAAGATAGCGCATCACATTTAACGCGAACAGTGCAATCACAACTCACTTGACATTTCTCTTACTTTCTGAATGAGTGTCTTGACAAACTCTTATAAGTCATCAGGTTGGCTATGAGATCTACATTTGATTCGTAATGCTACTGAGAGCACGCGATCCCATCTCCGGACTTGTAGTTCTTAACTGATAATTGAGCATTCTGATAGAAGATGCAGCTGTAGAGAAGTACGAACATGCATGTGTGCATGAGGGAGTCTTAGAAGCATTACCAGTCTTCATGAAATGCTTACTGAACGGGGTCTTACTACGCCAAGAGAAGCTAAAGGTCCACATGTACCTTCGGCCATCTCTTTGGTGATTTTCTCTTAAATTTCAAAACCTCCTCACTTCTCTTCAATGAAAGTGGACTCGGTGTTTGGCATTATTCGAAATTAATCAAGGTCTAGGAATACTCACGCGTGCATAGACGCTTTGTGGATCAGTGGCAGATCCGCGACGTGCTCGAGGCTTCCCATTTGTATTAAGCGCAGGTCCCACCGAGGAGTGTATATCCACACTGGAACTCGTACCAATTCCGTAGCCGCTTCCAAGAGATGCATGAAACTGCGGGTCAGATACTCTTCCCAGAAATGCTGCATTCGACTGCCAAATTGCATGTTCCTGAATTGGATGCATACGCCAACAACTCCATCAGAAACTCAGGCTCTCCTTCCATAGTAAGAGGAAGTTGTTTTAAGAAAATGTAAGAACCACTCTCGTGTCGGAGCACTGTGAACTAACAGGTAGACAGAGATGAGGCCATTCTGCGGGTTACTGGGAATTAAATCTGTAGACTGGAAGGCTCGAGCAGCAGTACCGAACGATAATAAAAATACCAAAGAGTATTCTCATTCTTCGAGCCCCACTTTAGCATCGTGATAGGAGGAGCACTCGTCGTCACAGTTAATGATGTAAGAAGTTTCATTTCTAGTAGATTGAAAATCGTCTGAATCCTACTCTCAACTTCGGACTTTGTTGCAAAAGCAAGGAAATCTATGTACAAACTAGTGGTGATACAAGGATCATGAACAAGCGAAGATGGTGAAAAATTGGGCAAAATTCTGGAAATTGATCTTATCGATCAAAATGGACGTACAATGCAGGATCGTTTCAAGGCGGGACTGCTACTTCCCGACTCATCGTCATGTCCCCGAGAAGACCTTTTCTCTTGCCGCTCTGGATTTGAACGGGCTACTTTGACAACGGATGCTCTTGCCTTTCCTGCGTGAGATGATGATGGATCTTCCGTTCTTCTCGTCGGCTTTGGAGTTATGGCTGCGGTACTTGCATCGGAGGCAAAAATGCTCTGCTGGCCTTGCATGTTCGCGTCCGTGAATTGTGACCAACCACAAGCAGAAGTGGCAGCCGGTGCCTGCGGAAGCTGAATTGTGCCTGTCAGGGAATCTTGTTGAGTTTTCGTCAGAAGACCATGCAATTCAGCGTACATGTTCTCAGCAGAGGCCTTGCAGTACGGATCGTTGGCGCTGGAAAAATGGTTACTTCCTGGCCTGTGGTGGTGTAGTATTATACTTTCACTGCTTGTGTTGGCTCTGCTGAGATCACCCTGGACTGGACGTAAGCCGTTGTCAGATGGTCGCAGTTGTGAGGAAGATGATGTGACGCAACTAAGCCAAGTGGTGGCTGGGTTGCTCTCGTATTGTCCAACCAGATGCTGCATCATTTGACCATACGAAGCCAGCTGCATGGAGGGGGGTGACGATGTTCTGGAGCTCAAGTCTGTTTCAGGAGTCCGCACCATATGCTGATCTTGTTCAGTATTCCTCACCACTTTGTCAAAATTACTAGATTGATTGGGAGCGCTTGTGCTGCGAAAATACGGAGCTGATTCCTCTCTTTTGCTACTGTCCTCCGTAACTGGAGTCTCACAAAATTCACGATCTGCCCTCATGATATTCTGATCACTGCAGCGCTCGATGAATAACTGCGAGGCATGCGAGCTCTCTGAGTGAGCCACCCCGTCTGGACGCTCATCCGATGACGTGGAACATATGTTCAACCGGGAGAATTCATCCGGATACATTAAGCTACCGGTACCCTCTTGTGACTGTGGCTGATCATGGTCGACTGCACCAAGCACACCCGCGGCCTGAGACAGAGTTTGGAAGCCAGACAGCCAGGATGAGAGCAAGTCTGATTGAAAATTTGTAGAGCTCTTCATATGTACAATTGAGCCTTGCACTTGGAGATCAGTCAGTGAGATGCTTGGAGGCCCTGCAGATGCAGTGGATGTCTGAGTTGTCCATCCATCCCACATGGCTTCGCAAGGACTTGTCAGTGCTTGCGAAGTAGACACAGCTGTTTCTTCCGAGTTCCCAGACTGTAAGCTGCTATCATAATTCGCCATACTCGCCGGAATAAAGACTTTATCTGTAAATTATGTACAGTTCCGATCACGAAAGTCGGATTTTGTTTCAGCAGTTTCTCCGAGTTTCCTGCGCAGTGCACAAAATCTTGAGTTATGATCGACAACAAGAGCAAGATTGCTATAAACTTCTGGGCCCGATTTCATTTGAAGGCGGGTTCGATTGAACCTTTCAGGCTTGAACAGAAGAAGAGAATCAACGAGAACAAAATGGAGCAACAGTTGTCAAGAAGGTTAGAGTTGAAGCCCTTCAGGATTTACCCAGAATCAAACTAAATCTAAACGTTGGAGATACTTTATGCATACAACTGTCAAGATCCGGATGAGGAAAACTTACTGCAACACTAAACACTTGGCTTTCAGCATTGTGTTAAGTTTTAGTGCGCATTTCTCAACTTTATCTCCAAGGTGTTGATAAGACCGTTGATATGATGAGGTGCATCTGTTCGAACAAGCAACCTACAAAAATCACTTTTCTTGAGTTCTCCATGCTCTTTCTGAGATAAGACCCCGATCGTGACTAGATGGTCGAATCAAGAAGTTGTGTATAAACTGGGAGTAAAGGCGACAAAAAACATTACCTAAATATTCATGAGATGGTGGATCGATCGTAGGGGAGAGATTATGGTAACCAGCTATTCGCTTCAGATACGTATAAATGGACGCAACCGGGGGATTTGTAGAAGCAAGGAAATGATCAATTTGGGCTGGACCCTGTTGAATCTTGGAAAGGACGAGGCTGGTATTCAAGAAGAAGCTGTCATCGACTATACTTATGATCTGTGTTTCATCGAGCAGAACTCTGAAGCTTGTTCGTACATGATGTAGGTCCCTCTTGCGGCAAACCATACGTAGCACCCACCTCTTAATGAATTTCGAATCAAGAAGCCGGAGAAGCAAATGCAACAGCTAGGCATGCATGGTCTCTTGCATGTCAAAGTCTCATATCTCTGAATGTCCCTCGAGCGTTGGGATTTTGATTTTCACCCTCCTACGTACAGCAACCGCAACCAAGTCGAAATGATGATCATAAGGTCCTCAGAGCACAACTATGAAAATCACTGTTTGGTGATACATGTAGACATGAAAGCTCCTAATCAATGGACGATCCTTCGTGAAGGCCTCCGAGCAGTGAGTAATCGACGCTCATAAGTAGCCTCTCTCAGATCTCTGAGACATCCAGAAGATCGGAGGTGTCAGATATTTTCAGAATTCAGCTCAGTTGACATGCGTCCTGCTACTCAAGCTCATATCAAGCCCACGGCAAGCCTTGGCTCGATCTAATATAGATCAGACTACAGCCCAAGGTAAGTTCTCTCACTCCCTCTCTCTATCTCCGTTTGCAGGGAAGCGTCTCGACGTCGAGTCGAGAGGAGAGACTCTGGCCGGACTTGTATGGAGGACCAGCACTTGTCTTTCTGCTGAGCCTAGCTTTCCCAGACAGCGACGTACGGATCTCATCCTTTACAACGACGTGCTCACCGGTCCCGGTCGCCGCTATAAATGACGCTCACCTCGCGACTTCACGTCTGCACGCACCCCAAGTCGGCCGAAGGTTATGTGACATCCCATCCAGGTGCCATAGTCATACATGCTGATTGTCAATCATTGTGGTCATTACTGGTCGCAAGCTGGGGAACCAAGTCATCATCACCTAAAGCCTCACGTGTCTTAAGTCGTGCGCGGAGAAATGCTAACCATTCATACGGTGCCATGTCCGCTTGACATTTGGAGTGTTGGGCAATCGGATTGCACTTCACAATTCCGGAACCCGGCTCAAAGTCTTACTATCTCCACGGTGCAATCTACTTCCTCGATGGTGCAATCTACTTCAGATTTTTGTTTCTAGAGTGTATTCCACGTCGTTCTCCTCTATGTCTAAGGATCTCTCCCGGAAAGACCATTCCTTCTGTTATATGTTGTATGTTACGCGTCAAGAAACTGGGCTGGGATATGTGTTGGATTCAACTCTCCTAATTGACTGATTTTGATGGATTTCATTGTACTGCATCATTGTTATCTTTTATCAGGAGCTGTCAACGTTTAGGATCGAATTAACAACACACCATGGATGATAATCAGTTCATGATTCGAGATGCAATCGACGTGTGTTCTTTATCTTCGGACTGATTCCCTAATGTCATGCGCACAGGGATTTCACTCTCCTTCTATGCAGATCTGTATGAAGTTTTGAAAGCACTTTCCTGCTCATTCCAATTCACATGTGAGCTCACAGTTTCAGGGTACTCACCAGTGCGTTATATATCCGGGTACTGGAAATATGTGTTCTATGTAGTTATGAATTCTAAGCAGATCGCCAATGTGCGACTAAAAGTGTAAAATGCATTTGTAACACTTATTTGCTTCAGGATGAGGTGGAAGTACTGGAGCTCAATTCTGATTGGTAGGATAGACCTCAGTTTTTGTCTCTTTGTGCAATTTCCGTTGGAGGAATGCCGTCCTTTTGCCTTTGTGTGTACATATTCAACACTGAATTTCCCGGTTTCCGAGTAGATCGCCACGTGTTTTCAGAGTTTCGATTTTCCCAGTGTTTACGCTTTGCGACGTGGTTTGGTTTATGCGAATGCCATGTTTCCCTCCATATCAAGGTGCCTGCGGGCTAGGCAAGACAAAGACGCCGGCAGGAATAACATGTGCCGATCCTCCTCACCTCAAGGAAGAATAAACGGGAGTTACAGCGGGCACGGAATGATACAGAAGCAACTATAATAGGAATGTTTACGTACGCCTTAGTGCCGCTCTTTTACAGTGTTAAGCGCTGTGTAGTACTCTCTGTGTAGTTTCTACTATCTGGTTGGCTCTTCCTTATCTTGGTTTCGCGGACAAGGTGGAAAATCTGCACATTGTCGAAGAACTGATAACCTGACTGGGTGGCAAGGACACCAACCTGTGGACAACCGAGAAATGAAGTCAAATGCTTGGCAGGGACCAGCAAAAAGCGAAGGGCCGTCTCATATGGGAGGGTTCAACAATGGCGGGGATAGATGCCCATAGGGTTCGGGCCAAAGAAGCGCCATGGACCCAATGGGTACAATGGATCCGTTCAGGCAAAAGATTGAACACACTTTGAGATCGTTCTTAGGGCTCAAGAGTCAAACATACACCAACATTCTTGGGATGATGGACACGTTAGAAACATGAAAAATCAAGGTGGTGGAGCTCATCCTCGCGCTCCTCAACCAGAATATGAGCAGGATGATGAAATATTCAGGAAATCGGGTGGATTATTTCTCCTCTTTCTTTCTGCTCTTGCACCATGCAATCAAGGGTTTGATGGAGGAGAGTGTGTTAGCTCAGACCCCTCCCACTATGTGGTACCTGGAACAAACATAAGCAATGACAATATGAGTGAGGAGGCTACCGTATTGATGCAGTAATTCAACTCTAGGGAAGACCAGAAGTCCGAGAAGAGGAGGAGTGGCAGACTCCCACTGCAGCTAAGATGAAGCATTTTCCAAAATCAGAAAAATTTAGAGAAGAGCTTTGCATTTAATATGGAACAAATTGTTGTGGATAGCTCGGCTTCAAGCTTCTCACAATTTAGCACAAACATCGGTGGAATCTGTATATTTCAATCCTCACAATCTGTTTATTTCTTGCTTCTTGCCCAACCCAAATCCCCTGTAACTTGTTTTACTTACCGCGTCACATTTCATATCATGTACAAGTCTTGAGAGAGATTGGCCAAAAGCTGGAGAGTTGTTTCTCCCTCCTTGTTGTTGACCCAATTTATTTTTATTTTTGAGCTCTTGAATTTTCTCCTGGATTCTTTGAAGTATGTCTTGTGTTTCTCACCTGGAAGTTTGAAGTATTGCTCTCATCATTAAGGGCTAGTCAAAGTTTGAATTATCAATTACTCAATAATCATGTGTTGGTTACAAAAAGTAAGTTGATTATATGTAAAAATATGTACCTTCATCTAGTATGATCTTACATTTTTGCATTTTTATACCAAACAATGTTACTAGAAAACATTCAATTATATATCAGGCAAGAAAGATTTTATTTGACATCTATGTAATGTCTTTGATGCAAACACAAACAAAATCAAATGCAATGCAACTTGTAAGAATTTTACTTTAAGTTGTCTTATTAATAGAAATTGCAAGGAGAATTGCTTGACAAATTTAAGCTAAATTACACAAAATTTACATATAAGTATGAAAGAATTAAGTATTATTAATTAGGCATAATTATGAGATGTGTGGAGTTAACTCAACAGTTGATTAATTCTAACTGTTTTAACCATGATTATTAAATCAGATTAGTTTGTCATTATAAAAAAAAATTATTGTGGTGATTTATGATAACTCATTGAAATTTCCAGTATAACTGTATTGTGTATTTGTATGTAGCCTAACAAGAGAAATTACACATCACTTCAATTAATTGTGTGTTTTCTGTTTGTGTTGTGAATGTTTGTGTTGTATCATTCAAATGCTACGATACTTGATTATTGTAGCATTTCAATGCTCTTCATGAAAAGAATTTTTTTCTTGATTCAATCATTTTGATTCTAATTTGATATATAATTCACCTCTAGATTTAGATTTTAATCTACATCCAAAATTCTTACCACCTTTGTCATTTTGTGAGTATAAGCATCTTGTTAGTAATAACTTTTCCCAAGAGTGTTGTTTGCTTTGTTGACATGATACATGCGTTAGGTTTAGAGTATTTGAGGTGTTGAATACTAAGGATGGCAAGACCTCTAACACCACACCACACTCTCGTTACCTTAGTGAGTCCACACAAATTCTAGTTCTGGTCTTTTCTCGTGATTGAAATTCCTATACCCAAGATTGCTATGAGAGCGAATCACGATAACTTTTGTTATTATCGATTTTGGTTTGTGGAATGAGAGTCAAAAATTTTGAAGTTTGCACAACTTTCTTAAGTTTTGATGCCGAAAACAGCAATATTAGCGGAAATGAATTGGATCAATGTCAAGGTGGCGAGCAAGTAGAAATTCCTATCACAGATCTGATGCTTGCTTACAATATCAGGAACAGTTTTGCATAAGATCGATTGGGAGGAAAGTTTGCATTTGGATTTAGGAGACTTTCAGCTAATCTGATTCGCACAAGAAGTTCATCCAGCTAAGCAAAACTTATAAGATTCTGATCGATGATTTGACTTACATCACGTACGATATGCACATACTTCTGCTGATGCAAGGACGAAACCAGACGGTTTTGCGCTCGAAAACAACTACAATATAGGGTCTATAAAATTACCAAAGCACAACATCGCAACGTCGTGGAATACTGTCTTTCAGATGCTGCCAAAACTCAACATCAAGACGTCTAACTTAGAGGGGTTGGACTTGTGATCAGTAGAAACATAGATAGAGAAGACCGGCACAAGCTACCGTGGAGTGTGTGGACTTAGTAGAACTTGAATCATTGAATTAAAAAAATCAATTGTAAACAATGGCGAGCAGATGCAATGAAGGATAGTGTCTTTGCCTTGATGACTTCTTTTTGAATTTTAAGATCGAACTATAACACGATGAACTTTCCTCTGATTGTGGAAGTTCAAAATATGTGGAGGAAATAATCTTATGAAGTGAGAGCATTTTATATTTAGTCTAGTAAGGCATTCACATTCAAAGTGGCTGAGCAGACGAGCTCTTCACATGTTCCAGTCTTGTCAAATTACCTCTTCCACCCAGAAAAAGTGCCCTGGCAAAAAGTCTCATAAGGACAAGATTGTGAGATTCCTAGTACTTCAGACTCTGCACTGATTGAATTGTAGCTGCAAAAATTAAACACTGTTTCTTCCTACCGGCATTGTTGTCATACTGGATGCGAAAATGTCTAGAGTTTTAGGTGGAAGATTAGTGGTAGGTTTCTTGATTTTGAAAAGTAATGAATGATTGAAGGTAGGACAGCAGGGTCTTCAAATGTCTACTGTAATAAGAAGATTGAGCGGAGAGACGGGAGACGAAGGACAACGGTTAATACCAGATTGAGTCGAGCGTGTTGAAAATCTCATTGCTACTTATGCAAAAGAGGTCTTTTCTTGAGGAAATCCTCAGGAGACATTAGCTCTCTAAGGAATCCGATCTGGTCGAACAATTCCCACGTGTTCAAAACATTATTTCTGGTTTTTATGTTTAAGCTTGTAATGTAGTCGGCAATTTTCTTACGAGATCTCCCGAGGAACAATCATAGATCATATTTGATTCCAAATTCACCACGCAGAGAAGTTGCAGCAACTGATTGTTGAAGCATGCATAAGCGGTGGATTTTGCGAGCATAAGGAGGCGCACGAGGAACCTATAAAAAAAAGTCGGAGAAATGTGCCTGAATAGAAGGATAGACGAGTAGTCTTTTTACAAAAAGACAAGGTGGTCTCTTCTTGTGCATGGCTAGATGAAGGAGGAGAGTTGAGAACTTAGCAATTGCGGTGTGGAGCAAGTTTGTGTTTTATTTTTGAGAAGGAGTTTTTGCGCCATTGACAAAGTGAACAATGTTCTGAAAAGAAGTAAATGAGTGAAAAACAAGAATTTTTCACTTAAATGGTACAAGGTACAACTTTGAGTGTTTGACAAAACAAGATGATGTTCAGTAAGAGGGAGCATGATATGACATAGTCAAATACAATGGATATTGTGACTATATTATAAACCCCTACACGTTACACGTAGATTTGATGCAGAAATCACACTGACTCGATTTCAATAATTGTGTGCCTCTCAATATGCCCACAGCACATGAAATTTGAGTAATAAAATCTCAAACAATGTTCGGGACAAGCTACTTCTTGTCTTTATAGTTCAAAGCTGAAAAAACTAATCCATGAAAAACCTTAAATCCAAATTTTCTGGATTAAACTTACACTTGAGTCATCATTAACATCCACCATAAGCACTTGGAACTTACATCTCACGCGTTGTCAATCAGACCAGACCTAAAAAGATGACCTTCTGTCATCTTTTGATTTCTCCAGCCTCTTGATCTTCTACAAACGGATTAGATTCAGATTGTTGTTGCTTTCGAAGGAATTTACTCAACTCGCACATCTTGTCTTGTACATGCGTTTGACATAAATCTTGTCAATCTCATTTTCTTACTCATCATAAAGCTTCAAATTTGAATTCTATCACTAAATTGTGGCAATCTCAAAGAGTTTAGTATTCACGAGGCAAGGATAAGGATTGCATTTTTTAGCTTTTGACCATTTGTGTACCACGAGCTTGATCTATTTATCAATACCATAAAATAATCCAACACTCTTATATTAAAATTAAGATTGGTTTTAGTAAGTAATGTCGAATGCATTACTTAAAAGGATTCACACATCAATAACACAAGAACGCATAAGCATACACATAGTCGACAACGTACATGAATAATTTAATATTGCATACTTAGCACCTTATTTTTTGAGAAACTCTAAAAAGTATCACTGATAGTTTTTGTAAAGTTTTTTATATAGTGATAATTTATTCAATTTCATGAACTCAATCAACCTAATTTTAAACTCATGAATTGATTTTTATCAATATATATGAATTAAAATTTTAAAAAACTAGTGATGATGCAAAATAAATTGCAATGATATATGAAGTGTTAAATCTTAATAAAAAACGACCAAAACTGATATAAAAAAATATAATGCATGTGGTTGACAAGAACGGGGAAATAAATATAGATTATGCTTAAAAAAATGTAAACATCCATCAATATTGAAATTTGAAAAATTATTTTGGCAAAGTAAAAAAATTTTGAAAATGCAAAAAGAGTGCAATTTATATCAACAGTTAATAATAGTTGTTTTGTCGGACAAGTGAAAATGGATATTTTGCCCGCTTTCTTTACAGCTACTAGGAGAGCTTCGTAGGGTTTACCACTTCCTGGTGGAGCTGTAATTAATGCGACCTTAGCCTTTTAAGAGTATTCAGAAAGGGTTAAATTATCCGCCGAACTATCTTCCTGTTCCTGTATATGTGGCAATTATAAGACTTCATATTCAAGTTAATTTGAGATCTAGGAATGTGTTTTAAATGATTATGAAAATGTTATGAGGTTTTTGAAAATATTTACTTGACCATCAAAAGTTTACAATCTAGACTGAAAATGACTTGTTTGGACTGATTTTGACTATGATAAAAATGCATCTTGATATGAACTCAAAGTTGCAATTGATTATCAGAATTTAAATAAAAAAATTAAGATTTAAAAATGAAATTTAACTTATGCTAAAAGCCTGAACAATATTTGTAAACAATCTGATTTGATTTTCATAAGATTTACAAATTAGTACTTGTTTAAGGTTAAAATTGTAACTCTGTAAAGATAACAAATTGCTTATTGCAAATTGATACAAAATTGTAATTGCAATATTGCAACTATTTTTCAAATTTTTGAAAAAGAAGATGGGATCCAAACTATGTTTTTAATTGTGACATTACTATAAAATTGACATACAAGCATTATTTATCTATTTATCATTCAACTAGATCAAAAGATATTGAAGCTCAAATTTTATATCAAGTTGAAATTCTTATCATTATCTAAATCACTAATGTTTTAATGCAAGCTAGTAATTTTAAGTTGATATAAAGTTAAAAAAATAAAATTGCAAATACATATGATAGAATGATTGAAATATATATAATTTTTGCTATATAAAAATTTTGGACACATATACATATTTTGTGTGAGATACAAAATTGATTAGATCAGTAATTTAAATATTTTTATGAATTTTTACATTGAATTTTGCATATTATGAAACGATTTAAGAACACTAGAAAAAATCTTCAAAAAGATTGGGATGTTAAGACTGAGATATTACTTTTGTTATAATATGAAAAATAATGAATGAAGTTTGATTGAGATTGCACATTCAATTACAAGTTCTCACCAAGTTGTATTTTAAAAACTCATCAAATCAAAATAGCCAAAAGAAGTGGAATGAAGAGTGAAATTATTAAAAGTACTTCTTACACCCAAAAAAATATTGTTCTATACTTAGACATTTTTCTTTTCAAAGAAAATGATTTACATGCAACAGCATAATAAACTAAGAGTATGTAGTAGATGATATCTTCGCTTAACAAAACACTTATCAATTCCTTGTATATATTTGTTTGATTATCACAGTAAATCATTGTTTTTGACAATGACCGATAAAAAATGATCTAAGAGATACATAGATTTTTTTCATTATTTATCTCTTCTTTAAAAATGTAATCTAAGATAATAATCTAAACTCTTAATCACATTATGTCAACTGATAATCAACATTATTAACTGATTGATTATGAAATGTTGTGGAATCTAAATTTAGCTTAAATTTAATTTTTCCAATCAAATGATTATAATATTGATAGAACAAAATTTAGATTTGGAACCTGATCTTCAAATTTGTAATCTTTCATATTGATTTTCAACCGTGACTAAGATCAAGGTGAAAATCTCTTACGATAGAGATTGAAGAGCTGCAAATTTTTTTCTTCTGATAAAAACTTAACAAATATGTATTCGTCACATCATATTACATATACTTTTCTTTTATAGGTCAAAAGTCTATTTGCCCTGAGCTTTTCTTCTTTAACCTTCTACTGTTTTAGATGGTTTCTAGACTTGCAGTAAATTTGAGTTGAGATGTTCATAGTCTCATAGTTTCTCACCCTTGCCTAAGAAGTATAATCTGTCTTTCAAGAGTTTAGCATTCAACTCCATGCCTTAGACATAAAACAAAGGCATTTTTATTATGCGTACATAACATAAACGTTTTTGTTAACTTTTGTGTTGACCAGCACATAACGAAAAATATATTAAGAAACTAAAGCTTATATGCACTTTTGCTCCCATAGCAATCCAGACTTAATGTTGATTGTCAAACCATTTTCCGATCCTTCCCATCTCACGTTCTACACTGTGTTTTGACTTTTGTAGAATGCAGCGTGTGTGGTTTTCTAAACCCTCTACATCTGACGGAGAGTCTATGAGGTCTATGAATAGACATTTTCTGAATATTTTAACATCAATACTTATGAGAATGAATATGTGATTGAAGGAGAATGATGATACGATGCTACAGCCATTACCATATTATGAACTTCTTTGACACTATTGCCAAGACATTGTTGAAACCGATGTTCCTATGTGTCATGTTGAAAATTATATGAAGGTGAGCACTAGTGCTAAGATCCACAAGTAGTATAACTATAGAGGACATGTATCTTCATTACATTGAATTATTCGTATATGATTTTGTGTTTTATCGTTTAGGTTGTGTAAAAATAAGCTATAACCTCTATCGGGAGGAAGATTGCTTCATTGGTGATGCTTGTTTGGTATCCTTGGATACCTCAAGTGCTAAAGATTTGCATGAATATGAGTTTGGATACTCTTTTACAGATATCGATTAACAAGAGAAAGAACAGCTTTCTCTAGTATTATGCTTAGTTGGATAAATATACTCCAGCCTTGTTTCGACTGAATATTGTCAGCGTTTTGGTTTTGGATTACTGAACATATTTTCCACCATCACACATATATACTTTCAACAATAAAAGGTTTGAACGATCATTTTCTTCATTATCTTACTCAAGTCAATACCGGCTTCTTAAGTAAATAGAAACGCTTTAACTGCTGTTACCGGAAATTTCGTAGTCATTCGTTAATATGCCCATTGAACGAAGCCCTTCTATTCTGTAAACATCTGTGCCATAAACTCCTCGAGTATATCAAATCACGGTCAATTCTCATAAATCCAAGTTGCATTGAACTTCTGAGGTGAACGAGTATTCATTCAACGGTTATTTTGATGTACATCACGGCCAGAATACTCAATCCACACGCGCAAGTGTAACACGATGACATAAATGAAAAGGAAATAATTAGCATTCACAAGCCTTAGCATGTACTAATGTGCGTCAATGTATACAAGGCGACGGTGTACACTCCGAAGTGTATCTTGCCCCAATATTTTGAGGATGTAATAATATTTTAGTTGTCAATAATCAAATGATATACCCTTAATGGTGGGTCAGGCAAAATTCAAATATCGGATAAACAGATGGCTCCGTGACTAATTATGTATGTAACTACTGTACTTTACTAACGGACTGTACAGAAGAGACAGTGCTTTAGTCACAAAAATTGAGAAGCAGCACTGATATACACAGGAAAAATCCGTGGACTGGCTTAGCTCTTACACTTAGCCTTCGAAGCAAAGCAACAACAAGAAAAATACAACAATAATTGTGCTACTTCTCTGGAAAGGAATAAGTGAGTAAGATGATCAATGGTTTGCTCTATCAGTGAACACAAAACACTCCGCAGTATCTTTTACTTAAATTCTATTGTGCACTAACATATAACAGAAGAGAACTTCACTTTCCATGATTGCCCTTTGCCGTTACAATATAAAAGAAGAATGTTTCAAAAATTGGAACAAATGAGTAAGAATCTCAGGGCAGAAAATACCCACGTTGTGTGTGGGACTACTGCTAAACCATGGCTCTTCAGACGCAGTATGGTGTGTACTATACGTTGGGACAAGATATATGATTTTGTACAGGTCCTGCATGTAATAGACGCCAACTCAATAACTTATGTGGGTTGACAGACCCATGTATACATTGCCAAAATTCTCTCTATGTATGTTCTCCGGCAACTCCAGCCAATCGCCGTTTGGAGGCATTCGAAATAGGCACTTGTCCTAACTTTTCAGCCTTAGCTGCTGTAATTTCTGTACGATCTGAAACGGGTGTGTACACCCGGAACCACTCTCCTGTGTACCACTGCAGATTCAAACAAAAAACTTTTCAGACTTTTTGTGTCACTCATAAAAAATTTTACCCTGTCATTAACCATATTCTACGACCACTACCATTATATTGGACCAACTTTAATTGAAAAACCATCCATATAATATGTGATCTGGATCTGGAATCTAGTTTTTGCAAAGACAATTGTTGCACACAGAAAATTGTTGCAAAGACAAGATGAACAATTTTGACTTCCAACTAACGAAACACAAATAGTACAATCGTACCGACAAAGCAAGAGCAAGATTTCAGACCTGCTGAGGTCGCATGATTTTAGTATCAGGGTCGTCAAGTGACTCCTTCCAGTGAGCCAGATATCCAGCCATGCGCGGTATAGCGAACAACACGGGGAAAAACTCTGTCGGAAAACCAAGCGCCCTACAAAATCACCAGAGAAAAATTCCGAACTTATGTTGCAATAACGTCATATAATAACTAGACAATACTAATTTCCACAATTTGAACATAACAAGTCTCCATGTATGTCCATCAAGGAAATCCAAAATATAATGAAAGTCGACAACAACCCATCTATAACATCCACTAAAACCATGTGCAGCCTTCAACTTGTAACAAACTCAGTAACTGCAACGTCAAGATTTTCATTTTAAATACTACACTGTTAACTGAGACAGTCCACAGATTTGCAAGTTACCTGTAGATTAGACCAGAATAAAAGTCCACGTTAGGGTAAAGTTTCCTCTTCACGAAATACTCATCCGATAGAGCTGCTTTCTCTAGAGCCACCGCTACCTGAAAATTTGACGTCAAGTTTTAATGACCTTCATACTAAGACTTCCCTAATAGCCAAAAGACTCCCGCCAATCTATAACAGCAAGTTGACCTCTGAAAGCCTGGAAAACAACTCCTTCTATCCTAGCCATAGAGTGAGAAAAAAAGTTAAAGATACAAAAAGTACAACAATGTATCTGGGTACATTGTTGTACAATGTACCCAGATCGAAACGTTAATCCAACTTTACTTCATAATACGGTGTTTACCCATGATTCTAGCCCAGATGTATGGAGAGTAAATACCTCAATCAGGGGATCACGTCCTACTATAGAGAAAACCTCCTCAGCAAGGCCTCGAATAACCTGAAGGGCAAATTCCAAAATAAGCTACACTTTATCACATTGTTGAGTTTTATATTGACCCTTCATAATGGAGTCAGAACAATAACTGTACTATAAAAGGTGAACCATTGGTATGACAAACATCACAACGAGCAAATGCTCTAACCTTTGCCCGAGGATCATAATTTTTGTAGACACGATGGCCAAAGCCTGACATTTTCCTCTTCCTGTGAGAAGAACGAGATCAGAACACATGATTGTAATTTCTCCAAAAATAAGTCCGTTAAAAGCCAAGAAAATCCCAATTGTGACCTACAGCAACGTTCATACTGTCAAGCAATTTCTTTTATCCACAACGATGATACTGACCTGTTCTTCACGCCCTCAATGAACTCTGGGATATTTTCTACTGTACCAATCTCGTTCAGCATTTTCAAAACAGCCTGATTTCAACAAACATTAACGACCGTAATCAAGATCGAAAGGCATTCTGCCTCGTTCCTTGCTAGATAAGCATCTTCTACTAGCAGAAAGATGACCGCAATTGCCGAAGACTTCAGTATCTTCCTTCACCCTTCATATATCAACATATCACCTGTGCTAAACTTCACCTAAATCACAACGTACCTCGTTTGCGCCACCGTGCAATGGTCCGTAAAGAGCGCCAGTGGCACCTGCAATGGCCGTGTATACATCGACACCGCTGGAATAGTAGAAAAATATGAGAACATATCTAAATATAGAAAGCGCTCAAAGTCCAGTCAAAACTCCTGTACGACAATGCTAAACCCTGAGGCCCTTAAGTTAGACGTTCTTACAAAAAATCCTTCGTTGAGATATATACTTTTAAGGCCTACCTTGAGGCAAGATGCCTAGCAGCAGCGGTCGAACAATTCATTTCATGTTCAGCATGCAATATGAAAAGAATGTCCAACACTCTGGCGAGACGAGGATTTGGTCTGTACGTTCGATCGTTCCTGTTCAGTTTCATCAAATGATTTATATCAGAAACATGTTCGACAGAAATAACGTAATGTTCATATTTGCTTACGTATAGTAATGTCTACTGCAAACGTAAACCAGTAGTCGCTAACACATTCATGTCCACAACTTCTTAGTAAACTAAGAACCAGCAAAAAAATAACCGTCCCTAAACAAACTGTGACATAAGAGTTGCGATCGTCTCCATCGACCTATGATATAGTTGCAAACAAAGACTTGACTGCACAATTTCGTCATTTCTCCCACGTGACCTTCTCGAAACCTATCATATTGTTATCAGCGTAGTTCCGTAGAACTTCGCTTGTGATGAACATGTGATGACAAAACGCACTTCGTTTCGTGTTTCGCTTAGAATAAGAACGCAGTCCCTTACATAGAATCCAGCATATACAGGAAATTCTCCGCGTATCCAAGGTTATTAAGTGGCATCACTGGAGGCCTGCCTGCCATCCGAAGATATGCACTTGCAGCAAGTGTAGGCACCTGCAAACATTGTGGACAACAGACCGCTTGAGGACATTAAGCACAGAAGACTTAAAACATCAGAAAATAAAAGAAAGTAGCAAAAAATGCCTCAACAACAAGCAACGCCATTTCAAACATTTGTGGAAACTGCAAATTTACGTTGAGATTGTACCTTCCCGAGAATTCGCACTATCTGCTTATCGCGGACCGCCTTTGAGCTATACAAGTCTTGACCCTGTATAATGATTACTTTCTCTCAGTGAAAAACACAAAATTCAGACAGCAAACCCAATACTTGTGACGAGTGCAAGAGACTTAATCAACAATTACTCATTTCTATGAACTTTACTAAAATGCAAAGTGGGTTTCATGGTAATACCCTCAAAGCTGGATTAGCGTCATTGTGAAATGAAGACAATGTGCATATGGCACCGACCAACATCCCCATCGGGTGTGCATCATGCGGCAAGGCTCCAATAATATTCTACAAACACCAAAACCGCGAGGGTACAAATGGTAAGCAATTGCTTAGTAAAAAACTCCAATCACAGAATTACAAAACGTTAGTACCCAACTTGAGATCCGTTAAGGTTCGTGATCAGTACCAGCACACCCTCAGGCACAGCTGAATGTTGCGCGATATTATACTCCCAATCTGATAACTGTGGCTTCGTTGGTAGGTTACCATACACTGCCAGCAACATATTGCAAAGAATTCTGAGTGAAAGAGCATCATTGATGAAGATGCAATGGGATACTGGACTACTAAGTTGCATCTGAACTGGTAAAGCTTGGCAGTTCAAAACAGCAGAGTGCTGCTCTCCGCATGATCAGCCATAAATATAGCAAGAGCTCATAACGTACTGAGTAAGTATGCCACTTCGAGAAAGGTGCTCTTTTCCGCAAGCTCCTCAATAGAATATCCTCTGTAGCGCAAAATTCCTCTATCACCATCGATGTAAGAGATGGAAGAACGAACGGGCGCGGTATTCAAGTACCCTGGATCATACGTTCTCAACCCGAAGCCATCCCCACCAGCGGTAATCTGGCAAAAAGAAACACACCATATTTATCATGGAAAAGAGGAACCTTTCTCGAATGAACTTGCTCGTTATCATGCCGACCCGCATAGACGGCAGAGCCTCTCTCGTTTCCTGATGACGACTACATAACTATATAGTATGGATGAGTGGCGAACAGCCACTCATCCACTCATCTCAACATGCAAATTATGCTTCCAAAAATTTCAAGAAGGGAGATACAAAGACAGGAGAGTGAGTAACAAATTACCTTCTTAAGATCTGTTGCCTTGATGGTTCCCCCTTCACTGATTTCGAACTCATAATTCTTCCCAGTTCTACTGTCCACAACTTTCAGTGATCCTTTCCCTCCAGACGAAGCTGGTCTGGCTTCTTGAGAAAGACAATTCTCAGTAGAGAGAGAAGATTGCGTAAGAGCAGGCCGCAAATGGCGAGACAGGGTGGCAAGTCTGTTTGCAGTGCATGAAGGAAGACATCCCTCGGCAGTTGTTTCGGCAGCCATGCTTAATGATCTAGTATGACCTTCAAGCACTCACAATCACGTACATACCAATCCAATTGTTCCCTGATCTCACCAGTTGACTCCCTGTCTGAATGCACACCAAATGATCCGCTACTTGTATCAACCGTGGTGCACCGTCCTCACAATGTACCAAGACTTTGAACCTCTTCACCAACGCCCACAATACCGCACGAAAGCCAAATTGTGCTGATCTGAAGTGGCGAAGTAGGCAGGCAATACACCACAATTAATCGAAGCAGATAAGAATAGCACCGCCGGACCGTATCAATTTTAGAATGACATGCTTCTTCTTACCAAAATTACAAGCAACCCTCTCGCCGAGCTCGTCTCACCTGTACGTCACCATTCACACGTGGCATGCATCTAAGCTGCCTAAATCCACGTCAACCACTTCGACATTTCGCGTGCAAGTTGAAAGGTGTAAATTTACACCATCATCGTCTTACGACCATATCAAACTGGTCTGATACCCTGGCCAAACGTCAGGAATCGCATCAGTCCTAACCTAATTACCTCGTTCACTCCCAACTAAACTCAACTAAGCTGAATATAGCGCGCCAGTTTTGGTTTACCATGTCTCTACCAAGACAGCAGCCGTCTCGGAAGACATTTCAGTGAGGGTAAGATTCAACTGCCCCACGTGACAACTTCATTAATACAATCATCTAGAGCATTTTATTGCACTTTAGTTTCAAAGTAAGTGATTATCCATATTATTGAATCATAACAGTTCATTAGATGACAAATAGTTCCGATTTATATTTTTAACTTCAAATATCTACTCTTACATTTTGTGCTAATTAATTAATAACGGATTTAAGATGCAAGAAAAGATGAAATAGCAATCCACTCTATATACTTATCACTAAATAGGTTTAGATTCAAGAAAAATACAATTATTTCATGATGGTGAATAATTGTACAATCTTGGTTTTGGATGTTTGGTGATCGAACTATACGGACAGAAATTTTAAGTATGAAATCAAAATAGTGTGTTAAGATAATGCAATCAAAGAATTCGGCATGTTGATATGAAATCTATTATTTATGATGATGTTCATTTGTATAATTATAACAAGAATTTGAGTCACTAAATGATAATCAAAACTAATATATAGACATAAATAAATTGTTCATAAATCTTTATTAACTAAATTTTCTTCATTTCAAAACTTTGATTATATATTTATCTATTTATTTATCTATTTAATAATGTAAAAAATAATTTTTCATGGATGTAATCATGACTTTAAACATTCAAAATTCAAATGGGATTTTTTAAAGAGTTTTCAAGCTGTCTACAATTCAATTTTGCTGATTCTTTCTTCAAATCATAAATAATAATCTATCTACCACAATAAAGAATTCGTTTTGTATAACACTAGATATGAACTTAACGCATGAGATTAAAAAGCATTTATTTTGTGACAGACAAAATATCACTTAGTAAACATATTTCAAAAGCATGAATATGTCATCTTTATATTTATTTGGATACAATAATACATTGTATCATGTAATATTTTTTTAAAATATTGTTTCAATAATACATGTACGAGATCGTATTATTTATTTTGTGATTTATAAGCACATGGTCTCGTTTTCTTTCTTTAATTTTGTTTAAATATATTGCAATTCATTCCATCCAGCCAAATTAATAAATATCATTTTAACTTTGCTTTGAAATTTTTGTTATGTTTATTACATACTACTTACAGGCCAATTTTTTAACTAAAAACAGTAAATTGTTTGCTTAATTTTTATTCGACAGGTCAATGACAGATAAATTCAATACAATGTAAATACAGCATGATAAAACATAGAATTGAAATTTAATAAATAAAAAAAGCGCTTTTTGTAAAATCAATCAAAATTAATACAAAGCATGCTTGCATTTTATTTATAAAAATTCAGGCTTTAAAATGATCAAATTTCTTTCATTGCAATTTTATTCACTCCAAAGAGATTATGAGATTTTTTTTTCTTTATACCTAACAGACTTTTAGCCATTTGGATCCATAAAATGACAAACTCCTCTCAATCAATCTCATCTATGATTTTTTATCACGTAATTTATCTATTGAGATATGATTGAAGAGTTATTATTGAAAACTACTTTTTGTAAATATTTTAATTTAAAATTAATAATTAGACTAAAATATGACTTCAATTACTAAATAAATTTTTTTTTCAAAAAAACACGCAAAGATATTTACTTCTAAAATTCACATGAATTTGTGTTTAAGTATATTGTAGCATTTTTAATGTTTGAAGACAACTTCATTTCAGAAAACTATATATTTTTTAATAGAATTTAAATAATAATTCAAATAAAATTTAGACTCAAATTTTACGATAAAAAATACATAAAGTTTTAACAATTATTATTTTTTCAATTTCATGTCCAAATCATGATTGCATGTTCATTTGAACTATACAAATTTATTATATTATCTACTTTCTACCTTACTTTTTTATGTTTTTTTAATAATTTCATTTCATTGTAGTTATTTTATTTTTAATTAATGTATAATAATTATATTTACAATAATAATACTCATATCTATTTTTTATTTAAAAATATCTCTTTGTCAGATTAAAAGCTGAGAATTCAACAAGTTTTTATTTAACCATTTTCATTTATATTTATAGTTTAGTACCATTGTATTATATTATATATCTTATTTTAGGTATTTACTTGAAAAAATTTGTTGAAATTTGCTAATTATATTGTTGAAACCATGTGGCTTTAACATAACGCATGAAACTCCACTATCATAGTATAATATTGTAAAATATTCATGTTAGCTTTTAACTAAGAAAAAATTCAAAAAAATTTAGAAAAAAATTTAAATTGCATTTTATTAGTTGATTATGATACTATTGCATCATTTATAATATCAACAAGAGTTTAGTTTATGTTAACGTGAAATTAACATGTAATAAATTTAAAAAAATTAATATAAGGATCAGATTAGATTGATGTGAGAAAATTTAATATTATATAATTACTTAGTTTCAAAAAATTTAAACTAAGTATCCTGAAGTTCAAACACACATGTCTACAGTGAAATATGTGATCTGGCATTACGGGCCAAGAATACATGATCACATAATTTTTTTTACTAATAAATCATTTAAAAGATAGTTAAATTTTTTTGCTAGCTATGTTTTATAGTGACAACATAAACTAGATTTTAACTAAGATTAAGCTAAATTTAATGAACCTGAGCTAACCAAGAACAATCTTTGACTATCTTTTAAAAAAATGATAGTATCAAAATCACCATGGCTTTTAACAGAAAAATCTTATAAATTAACAAAAACGCAAAAAAATCTTACTTTTTCTAAAAAAGATAATAAACTAAAAAAAAGAATTTCTAATCAATTTGAAGAATTTGAAGATAAAAATTTTATTTTACCTGGGGAACCTTTAACTCAAGATGCTAGGCGCATTTTAAGTTTACTTATTAACAAATAAAAAAAACAAAAATTGATACAAATTTGAAAAAAATGAATTTTTTTATGAAAATGCAGCACAACTAGTGAATGAACAAAATCTTTCTTCAATTGAAAACACACGTAAAAAAAGTGCACTAGCTTAGGCTCTAACCCGAGTAGCATGGGGCACGTGGAATCCCGTGTGAATCAGCAAGGACCACCTTGTAAGGCTAAATACTCCTGGGTGACCGATAGCGAAGTAGTACCGTGAGGGAAAGGTGAAAAGAACCCCCATCGGGGAGTGAAATAGAACATGAAACCGTAAGCTCCCAAGCAGTGGGAAGATATTTATACCTCAATTCATATTGAAAGATATGAAATTGAAGCTCGTGTAACAAGTCAAGGTTCTGAAAAATTTACTAACGAAATACCCCATTTAGATGATTATTTACTTCGTCATTTAGATCAAAATGGCGTTGTATTAACAGGTTCTTGGGTTGAGACAGGAGATGTTTTAGTTGGAAAATTAACACCTCAAGAAACAGAAGAAAATTTACGTGCTCCAGAAGGAAAATTATTACAAGCTATTTTTGGAATTCAAGTAGCAACTTCGAAAGAAACTTGTCTTAAAGTTCCTCCAGGAGGTAGAGGTCGAGTTATTGATATTCGATTAATATCTCAAGAAGACAACTCTGCTAATGCAGCACAAATTATTCATATTTATATTTTACAAAAACGTAAAATTCAAATAGGTGATAAAGTTGCTGGAAGACACGGCAATAAAGGTATTATTTCAAAAATATTACCAAGACAAGATATGCCCTTTCTACAAGATGGTACACCAATAGATATGATATTAAGTCCATTAGGCGTACCTTCACGAATGAATGTAGGACAAATTTTTGAATGTTTGTTGGGTTTAGCAGGAAGTTTTCTTCATAAAAATTATAGAATAATTCCTTTTGACGAACGATATGAAAGAGAAGCTTCAAGAAAGTTAGTCTTTTCTGAACTTTATAAAGCAAGTAAAAAAACAAGAAATCCATGGTTATTTGAACCAGATAATCCTGGAAAAAGTCGATTAATCGATGGAAGGACTGATGAAATTTTTGAACAACCTATAACTATTGGAAAAGCTTATATGTTAAAATTAATTCATCAAGTTGATGATAAAATACATGCCCGCTCTAGTGGTCCATATGCATTAGTTACACAACAACCACTTCGAGGAAGATCTAAAAGAGGAGGTCAAAGAGTTGGTGAAATGGAAGTGTGGGCTTTAGAAGGCTTTGGTGTAGCTTATATTTTACAAGAAATGTTAACTATAAACTCTGACCACATTCGAGCTCGTTATGAAGTTCTTGGTGCTATCGTTACTGGAGAACCTATTCCTAAACCAAATACTGCTCCGGAATCATTTAAATTACTTGTAAGAGAATTACTGTCTTTAGCTTTAGAAATTAATCATGTTATTATATGTGAAAAAAATTTGAAATTAAAATTAAAAGAAATTTAAAAGTTAAAACTAATTTGGAATTTTTATGTTATGACTTATAAAAAAAACATTAACATCTTTGAATTGAATTAGCGTCACCTGAACAAATACGTAATTGGGCGGAAAGAGTGTTACCAAATGGTGAAATTGTTGCCAATTGTAGATGTAATGCCAATTATACCTTTGTTTTTTTTTTCTTTTAGCCTTTTAACCCTAAACCCTAAACGATTATATATCACGTCAATCTTGATTGCTAAATCATTTTATCAATCATTTTTTTTTGTTATAATGATATATGATGTGTTTACAAGGTAGACAGTACACTCAAGTATTTTAGGTATTGTTCTCAGGGCAGGTCATTCTTGTCGAAGAGAGTATAAGGTCGGAGAAACTCGAAGAACGTTCAGTTCTTCAAGTTGAGACTTTTAGTGTTGAGGGTAAGTTTCAGTGGGTTGACTATGGTAGCTCGTAAGCTACGACCCGAATTCTCCTGTGAGTGAGTGGGTTGGGCTCAACTTTGTGTGATGTTTGTGATTTAAACGAGTGGGGTTTACACGATTGATTTCATTCGAAGAACTCATGTTTTAGTTT